TCAAGGGAAGGAGATTTGAGACGATAGAAGAGATTCAGGCAGAATCGCAGATGGTGCTTGACAGGCTGACAAAGAAAGATTTCCAGGGATGCTTCCAGGCTTGGCAGCGGCGCTGGGATCGTTGTGTTCACTCCCAGGGGAACTACTTCGAGGGTGATGGATGAATTTAATACCTGAGATAAGTGTACGGGTTTTTATAGGTGCAGTCTGGAAACTTTCCGATCGCACCTCGTAGAAATGTCATTGCTGTGCTAACAGTGATCCTCCTAGGGTCAATGTTCATGAATAACTCAAAGCAGGAGAGCATTATGGAAGTCTTTATAGAGTAGTGCCATAGTTGCTGTAGGCTGGCTCAAAATAAAGGGATATTATAACATTGTTATTGCATACTCACACACTGTTGCAGTAGCACAGTACATGGCTGATAAAGAAACAAACATTAATAGCAGAAGCCAACGGTTCAACGATTCCAACCACAGCCCACTATTTAGCATAATCCTGAGACCGTCCCATCCTCATAACCTATTGCTCTAAAGTCCATCTTAATGTTTAGTCTTATGAGGTCCAAATATTTTTATGACAATTTTATTTCCAGACACTTGTAATTTTATTCTTCCCTTGAAGTATATTTTAATTTGTCTGATTTTGCATGGCATTTAACATGCTCTGGATATTTGAATTTTGAATGGCAAATTTTTCATAATAACATATGGAGAACATGTTGCAAATAATTGTTACATGAATTTGAAGATTGTGATACACTTTTTTATGCTGCAGAGACCTTTTGCTGGAAGGTAACTTCATTACTATGAAATCTGGCTCTGAAAGGGTTAAGACTATGTTTTAAGATGGCTATCTTCTCAATTGTAGTACTGTGTACTCTTGGTAGATGTTTACCAACATTTCAGAGGCCCTTGCTGCTTCCATCACCAGGACAGTGATCCCCTAATGCTGAAGGTAGCAGGGACTTCTGAAACGTTGGTAAACTTCTATTAGACTACACAACTACATAATGCTACAACCCAGAAGACTGCCATCTTCATACTGTCATGAGAACCTGAAATCCTACTTAAAACTATATCCTCTTTGCTAATTTTTGTTTTAGGCACGTCCAAAGCACATGGCTTGCATTTCAGTGAGTTCCTTCCATCTTGCAACAAGGCAGGTTTACCAATACCAAAAGAGCTGTGGACTGGAAGATGTTGCACCCATCCCAGATACACGTGATTTAGTTGCTATCTCACAGTGCAAATGCACATTGGGAGATCTTACTAGAATGGAGGGCATTATCTCAAGCAAGTTGGACACAGAGCCAGGTTTGCTGCCTGTCACCTCTCTCACATTCCTGCAGCTTTTCCATGCACTCTTTGCTGCTGCAGCAGAGCGACTTGGTGTTGGTCCTCTTTATGCCAAGGTGGTAGCTGCTCCATCCCTTTGGCTTCGTTTGGAGATACTAGCCTGTGATGCTGCATGTGCCAACTTTCGGGCAAGTGAGGTAGCACTGGTGCTTCTCTGTACACAGCTGGATTCAGGAGTTGCAGAACTTGGCACCAGGCAGGACCCCAGTACTGGTGCTGAGATCATGCGACTTGTCAACTTCGCCATTGAACTACAGAAACTATGCAAGGTAGGTTGTGTGTTGGAATGGGATTGTGTTACATAGTTATGTAAGATTAGAAGTTTTCATGGTGATGTGAATTTTAATGCTGGTCTGTAGAATTTTGGCTTTGTCAACATTTTAGAGAAATGTGGCCTTTATCTTCAGGTCTAATAATAAAATTCTTGCTACCACCATTCAGTTAATGAAGAACATATTTTATAACGAGCAGATTGTGGTCAGAAAATGTGAAGGGAAGAGACAACTTAAGAAACTGGGGATAGATGAGAGGATAATATTAATATGGATTGTAAAGAAATAGCACGTGAGGATGTGGACTGCATTCAGTAGGTTCAGGATATGGCCCAGTGACAAGTTGCTTTGAACACAGACACAGCAATAAACCATTAAAGTAACTTCATGGAGAAGCATTCTCTTCAGAAGCTGGTAGTCACCCAAGTCATCAAAATATTTTCCATCATATGTGGAAGAAGCAGTAATTTGTAAGAGAACACAATATTAAATTGAAAGCATGTGAAAGGAAATAAAAATAAGATCTCTTTAGCTCCCCCCCTTTTTTATTTCCTCTCTACCCCCATTTTTTTCCCCTTTATTCCCATCCCAACAGACTGAAACCATGTGCCCATTACCATAGGTAAAGGTCCTTTTTAAACTGTAACAAAGTACAGAAAACTGAAATGATGTATTTACAAATTAAAATACGTTACAGGTGTATGTAGTGTTTTTCATAATTTTGGAAACAGTAGGTGTATTCACATTAAACTCAGTGTGGTGGTGAGGCCATTCCATTGTATGTCCATGATTCTGAAATGTATGAGGTCGCAGTTTTTCAAAATGAGAAACTTTTGCTGTTTCACCTGTAGAGAATTTAGTTCTAGTACTGAATATTTTTGCTGGGCTTAGAGATTCACTATATATTTATATATAGATTCCAGACAGCAGCTTCTTCTGCTGCCATGAAGTGGTTCTGTTGATCCTGGCAAGGTATAATGCACAGTGCCAGATGCCTCATCGCCAGCGTCTGGTATGGAAGTTGTCCCAACGTACCTTGCGGTATTTGCGGCCTACTGACAAGTTGACTTCCATTATGCCCACCATTGATGAACATGGACAGCTGCAAATGCCTGAACGTATCAGGTAAACAACAGTCCAAAAGTATTGCTACCTTTGAAATGGAGGAAGAAGAGAAGGAAGTTCAGAAGAAATTGTTCATTTTGTCATTAAACTTTCATAGTGGCCTTTTTCAAGGCAAGCTGTGCAGCAGATGTGTATCATTATAGGTGATTGAATGGTGATATTTAAGATAAGTTATACAGCTATAAGAATAGATATATTTATTAGTTGGTAAATATATATTATAAAATAGAATTTTTACTTAATACAGGATTTAATATTCCCCCCTGAGTATTTGTGCAGGACAATTTATGTTTAATCCAGACAAGACCGTAAGGTCATCTGCAAAGCCTACAACAATTCTTGAACAAAAACCTCACTTTAATATTGCAAGCCTGACTGTACTTTATGAGTCCTCATTAACAAATTTCTAGAATATATCACTCTTCAAGGCTGTAATAATCACACCACAAAAAACTAAACACAATTATTCCTAGCAAGAGAACATTTTTAACCCAGCTTTGGTTATTCTGTACATTTTTCCTCCCTATCACAACAGTTTTGTGGTATTTAGACATAGGCATGTGATTTATTTTTAGTCAGGAAATATGTAAATACTACTAAATGCTAGCAATCAGATTCATACAAGGTTTCTAAAGAAAGCCAATGATATACATGAGAATTTGTGCACAGTATATAATAATCCACTTTAAAGGAAATTTCCTATTTATTTTTTGACCTCTGTTTCTATATGCAGATCGGGCAGTATCAGCTCTGATGAAAGTTGGGATTCGGAGAAAGAAGAGGCAGCTGCAGAATGGAATCCACCACTGAACCCTGCTGAATGGACTGTTGGAGCTATGAATCCATTGCTAGAAGAGGATGAACATATTGCTAAAGATGCTTCATCAAAGTTCCTGCGTGACACTATGGCATCCTAATTCTGGAGGCTTCATCTTTTCTGTTAAATATTGGTACACTAATTGTCCATATATTCTTTGTGCTGTTGATATAAGTTCAACAAATTATGTGGAAATATTTTAAAATAGTAAAAAAAAAGTTACATAAAATGCTCATCAAAAAGTGTATGCACACAGTAAGGAATGTACTGTAAACAAAAGGTAGCTTCACTTGAAGTTCTGTCCAAGGCGTGTGAATCTTGTGTTGCATTTTCACAACGCACTGTGGGGGGGAGGAGAGTAAATCTCAAAACTTTAACAGTGGTGTTATACTAGTCAGTCTTGTTACCACGACAAGTTTTAATTTCATGTTGGCATTATTCAAGGCAAGCTGTGCAGCAGATGTATCATTATAGATGATTGAATGGTGATATTTAAGATAAGTTGTACAGCTATAAGAATACATTTATTTATTAGCTGGTAAATGTATATTACAAAATATAATTTTTGCTTTATGTAGGATTTAATATTCCTGCCTGAGTATTTGCTATTGTGCTACATCTGCTGTAAACCAAGAATTTTGAAACCAGTTGGCTTGGTTCATGAGAACACTGCCATTCATTGCTGTGAATGCATACTTATCTACTAAAGAAAACAGCTTTTATTAATAATGGATGTATACTGTGACAAATTTTGATTTGCAAGTTAATTATAGCATTTAATAATTGTGGTTCCAAAATCTTAGGTGGATATCTCAGGGGGAAAGAATGCATTGTTGCAAAGTATGCACCACTGCATAAAATAATAGGACCATTTAAAAAGCACAATGAACCACAAGAATGAAAAGTACAAATAATTATCAAATCGTGTGTAACAAAACTATTCTGTGAACCTTTGCCAAGATGCAAGCACTCTTGTTTGTTTGGTTAGTCACCTTAAAAACTGATTAACTGCTGCATGCTTTTAAGCATTTGGTGACCGTTCACTCCAAGAGCTTGTATTTATTTCTGTGCAACTGTCGGTCTTTGGAACTAAGTTTAATCCAACTATATCTTAGCCCTTTTGTTTACAAGAAGGATGATGAATGTGTGAAATGTTTAGTGTTCCAGAAAATGTATTTTTCCCTTTATAAATAAGGTAGCCTAAGTAGCAAATTCAGAAGTGCATGTACAGCCCTGGAAGTGAGATATTCCCAAACATTTCAGTATTGTACACTGCAATTAACATAATTGTTTTTCATATTATAAGTGTGTATGAAAGATTGATGAATGAGCTGTTCTGTATGAAGTAATGCTGAAGGCAATAGAATTTATTATTACTTAAATATGAATAAATTTATAGCTGTTACATGTGAATCTTTCATTTGATTTAAAAGTACACATAGCTAATTTTGTAGCTTCTTTCACTCTTGGCAGGCCAGCTGGCACTTCATTATTGAAAGCAGTGTGTGTGTGTATGTGTATACTGTATGTATTTGAAATTTTGTAATTGAAATTCAGAACTGTATGTGTGTTGAAATTTAAAGTATATAATATAAACTATATCATTCATGAGAGAAAATATAAGACTAATAAAATGTTATTTCATATTTATTCAGATGTTACAAATACCTTTTAAAATAATGTTTGCATAAAAAGCTGGATGCACTATTTGCAAATTTGGTTTGGGCAGCACAAAGTGCTTTGAACAGGAATATACAAGATGTAGTCTTGACATTGTGCGAGCTGTTTCAGCTGATACATGAAGAAAGAAGCTTGACTTTCAAAATTTACCTTTTCATGTGTTCATTTACTGTGTGAGAGAAACAAAAGGTTTCCAGAAGCAGAACATATAATGAAATTGTGCTGTGGCTTGAAAGTTTGATGTGAGTTACAGGTACATCTGAGACCAGAGAAAATAGATATTTTTCTCCAATGTAGCAGTCACTGGTGTGTTTTATATCAGTAAAAAGCAAAATTTGCAGAGGTAGAAGAAGAGCTTTATTTTTTACTTAATTAAGAGGTATCAATTTGATTTTATGGTATCAAGTACAGTGTGCCGGTTGACACTAAAACATACAGAAAGGCTTTTGGAATCCATGACTTCAGTGAAATGTATGATGTTTGCAGAAATGTTTTGAATGAAATGATGTAACATGGCAAACAAGTTTTGTCAAAGCCTTTTTAATACAAAGAGAAACTAGCATTTCAAAAGTACTGGTAACATAGTTAGGAGCAGTGATAAAAATATATAAGTTCAGACAGCAATAAAGCATACTGATAATTGTGAGTATGGTATGTTTCTATTAATTTTTTTAGTATTGTGGTTTTGTTGTCCATTTCATGTTCTTGCGTAGATTTCAGTAGACTGGAAGTAGCTTCATTTATGTAATTTGGTCAAATTGAAATACTTTGAAACTAAAAATTGGAATGCCTGTCTCATTCACAAATGCATGCCATTTGAATAAATATAGTATTTAGGTTCATTTTGTTCCAGACCATCTAACTAGTAAAAACTAAAGAAGAATTTTCTTGCTCTTTTAACACTTTACATATACACTTTAATTGCACGTTTATTGTACTTACTATTTCTATTTGTTATTTTCTGTATACTGGACAGATGAAGACCTAGCCATAGCTAGGATAGTATTAACATGAATCTTAGAAAGCTGAAGTGAGGGTATGAACTGAATTCAACATACTCAAGATAGGTTACAGTGGTAAACTTTAGTAAAAATAGTAATGAACTTTCAGCTACCATAGATGGAATCTTCTTCATGAGCATTAAGTGACCGTCAGCTTCTGAAGGATTTCTGTTGCATGTATTTATGTGGGAAGGTTTAGCATTGTATTTTGACATTTAGGAACAAACAAATAATTCCTTAAGAAGCTAAAAGTTGCACAGCTAGTAAAGACATCTGCATGAAGTTGATTACCATGTTCAGAAGAGCTCACTACTAGATCCTATCATGTACTAGACGAATGAGGTCCACATCCCATGTCTTCGATCTATTTGAATACTATCCTGCCAGAATGCATGATCTTCTAAGTTTATGTGTTGAGACCTTGTATATATGTCTCATCTCTTGTGTACGGTATATGAGCCCTGCTTGTGTCATCCCATTTGATATAGTCACCCCAATAATTGGTGAAGGGTACAAATTATGAAGCTGTCAATTAGGCATTTTTCTCCAGCCTACTGTTACTCTTTTTTCAATCCATTTAATCTTATGGCCTTGCTTTCATACACGTGCTTTTTTCTTAGATTGAGATAATATGGAAGCTAATATGTTCCATTCAGTACCAGTCCCTCCTGTTTTTCTTGGACATTTCTAATAAAGACAGTAAAGGAGGCAAAGCTTCACAGACTGACATTTACAGTAGGTTGTGGTGGGGGGTTTGCAAGTAGTTTTTTAGCTAATGTATCCATGGGGTTAGAGCTTGGAATACTTATTGGATAGGAGGTTGATTGGGCCCTAAACATTTGTCATCCACAGTGCAAACATGTTCATAGCAATTGTATGGGGAAACCTAATAAGCCTAGTTCATTATATGTTTCCAGATGTCAGACTTTGCCGCCAAAAAACAAATTTATACAAGGCATGTTTTCGTCTTATGACTAAAGATATGGTCAAAGTCTGTCCAAGGTTCGAGCTCTGACATTTCAATATCAACTTTTCAAGACATACACAATCCGACACAACACTAACTACAAACGACAAACTGTGCATACGCGTTGAGTCTGTGATATGCAGTCTTTCAGCTCATCTTTGGACATGCATCTATTCTTTGAATTTTCTGTGGTCAAATTGTAGTTAATCCATGACATTTGGTTTTGGTTGTTGTGCAGTATGTTGTCTGGGATGGAGGTAATATAATGAACGTTCTTCATAAGTCCTGTTAAACTTGGTGTCATAATCACATTACATTAGGAAGGGATGAAGAAACTTTAGTTGTTTTGGTGAAGGTAGTTAATAGTTTTGAGCACAATCATTATAATAATTTAATTAAAGAAGATGGGAAGAATTTGCTGCCAAAGGTAAGAAACGACTTTTTCTCATACCTCGCTTGGATTCATTAGTAGAGAAAAAGACCATTTTTTTATTTCATTCGAAGACTGCATATCTAATTGGGCAATGATCTGCCCCTACTACAGAATATTGCTAAATAGGAAACCACCAGCTACCAAGGATAAAAATAAAAGTTTGACAGTGTGAGTATAGCGCAACAATTTTGGCACTTTCGTCAAAATCTGAGCTTTTTCCGTTTGAGAAGGGCGCCAATGACGTCTAAGTTGTCAAAGGTCAAGAGATTATATTATGCACAGGTCTATATTCAAAGTTTTTGCAATTTTTACGTATTAATGCTATCAGATTTGTTTATAAATTATTTAGATTTTTGTTTCGGAACTAAGATAAACACTGCAAGCAAGTAAATTGATAGTTATATTTCTGAGACACAATCTCTCTGTCCATCTCTCACAGCTTAACAAAGTGTATGTGAAAGAAGTAGGAAATAACTCTGTTTTGACATTCGTTGTGTTTCAAGAAAAACCTGCAGTGATGTATGTGCCCCTTCAAAAAAATAAATTGACCATGTCCTTTGATGACATTGTGGAGACCATGTCATAGTTCCTTAAAGTTGATCAAGAAGAAAGTAAATGTGAAGTTTTCAATTTAGGACACAAAAGAGAGCTGGAAGTTCTTTGACAGATGTACCTGCAGCAGCAATATGTGTGAAGTCCAGAACCCCAATGTCATTATGTGTCAGATGACTACTACCAAATTTAACCATCTAGTCAACAAACAAATTTTGCACAGTCTCTTTCACCTCACCCTGAAAATCAGTCTTTAACACTATACCCCCTACACTAACTAACTAACTCACTCCCTGTTAGTAGAACCCGCAGGTTCAACACTGACAACACCAAAACCTGCTACTGGTCACGATCTTGAGCCAACTCCATCCATTTGCTATCCACACAGCCCACCTCCCTACGATCCATCTTGATGTTATCTTCCCATCTCCTTCATGGTCTTTCCAGTGGTCATTTCCAGAAGGATTCCTACCAAAATTCTTTATCTATCCCTTGCCCCCCCCCCAATGTGAGCTACATGTCCAGCCCATCAAAGCCTCCTAGATTTCACTACCCTCACTATGCTAGGTGACCTGTACAATGCTTGCAGCTTTTTGTTAAGCAGTATTCTCAATTCCTTCCTTATTTCATCCCTCCTAGGTCCAAATATCTTCCAGAGCACCTTGTTTTCAAACACCTGTAATTTACACTCAATAAAAATTTACTCATGTTTTGATTTTCTTTTTAAACAACTGTGATTTTAATTTTAGAACATTTTGATAATGTACTGTTTAAATGTACAAAATGCGCTTTTTTCACATAGATTGCATTTGCACTATAAAGTAGTGATATGATTGCCTAGCAGCAGTTGGCAACAGAACTATGTAATAGCAAAGGACATACATACTGTAAAATAATGGAAATAAAAAAATGGAGAAAACTGGAGAGAAAAGGATTTTACATATAAGATTAATTCATAAGTGTCATGGGATAGAATGATAGACTGCTTAGGATAATTTTATATGGGCACTTTGAAGGATTAGTCATTTATTTTTGAGAACAGCGGATAGACACAAATGTATGATTAGGTTCTATAATAACAGAACTCATGCTCAAATAATTTTTATAAATAGAAAGAGGGAAACTATATTTGATTTACCCACAACTAGCCATTTATGTTTTTACAGTTCTGTTTTTATGTTATTATCAAGATTACCTCGTGAGATATTTAATTGCCTCATCCAGTTTAACTTTCTACCAGCAATCAGAAGATGCAAGTACTTATGGCAGATTTTAATTAAATATGATATGGGATGTTGTACTGTGTAGTCTGTTTGAAAATGACAGCTGTGTTTACTGCCTCCATCATCAGGGCAAGCACCTCTGAAACATCTGTTAATTTGTACTAGGCTACACAAAACAACATAGCAGAAGACAGCCATCTTCATACTCAGTGCCATGAGAACCTGAAATCTCATTAAATATGGTTGCTGGTGTACAATGAATTTGTTGCTGTTTATAAATTTATGAATTGTGGCAACTTTGACATGTTCCTGTTTCTGAATTCAGCAAAAAAATATATTTATAATATAAATCACATTCTGAGAACTATGAAAATGTTGAATAGTAAGTGATTACAAGAGTTTTAAATTGTGCTTTAGTTATGACAGAGAAATTGGTTTATTTTTCATTGCTGTAAAGAGGAACTAATCAGTCCGAAATGAAACAGCAGACAGCTTAACATGCTGATATATAAAAATAATAGTTTTGCAGATGAAATAAATGTACCACAACCATATAAATAAATGTATATCAGGCAACCGAAGTAGACTTTTTTTCCATAATTCATTAAATTTATAAATTATTTTTAACATGAGTGTATAATTCAATATTAAAATCTCTTGTAAGATATTACGTGGTAAACTACACTATCATATCAGGCAGGCCAGTCCCATAAGCCAAGTTACTTTGTGCTGTAGTTGCTACTCGAATCTCATCTGTGTGAGGAATGCGTTGACGGATATCACATCCACCTGGCCAAGCACGAGCAGGACTCCTGGTCTCCAGACAGTGCCGAGGTAATGCATCTACTGATAAGCTAACAGTTGCTGGGTCATTTACACCATTAGCTTTAAGACGGCGCTGAGTAGCCATTGTGGCTCTCAGTGTCTTTCGTTTCTGAAAATTCGGAAAAGAAACATAAAACATACTTGATTAGTACCTTTATTTAAATTTTAGTCTGTGTTATTATTATTATTTTAGTTATTAAACTAAAATGTTCACTTCTAAACTATGTTATGTCCTGTATGATTTCAAAAGCAAGGTGTAATTATGTAATGTGCCAGTAATTCCTCCTCCTTGGAAGTAACCTCAGTAATGTTGCTCAATTGTTGCATCCACAAGAGAAACACCTTCCATGTTTCCTATGGTTAATACATATTGGTACATACTGCTTTAGAGCCATTTTCTTCCATTATAAGATTATAAATGGATTTATAAAATTAAACCATACTGGCAGCACAGAATCAGATATACATGGAAAGAAGCAAGTTTGTAGTTTATTTAACGACGCTTTTTCAGTAGCTCAGACTTTATAGTGTCGAGTGAGAGGATGACAGTAAATTGGGACGGATGTGGAAGGAAATGGTCATGGCCTAATTTAAGGTACTATCCTGGAATTTGCCTGGAGGGACTGAGGAAAACCATTAAAAAACCCAATCAGGATAGCAATTCTCCAGGCTGAGATTTAAAACTGTGGAAGTGAAATGTAGTCATCTTTAGTAATAATTATGTAACATACCTATTAAATTAATTTTGTAAGGCTTATAATAAGCTGTTAGTAAGCTTAGCTAGTCAAGAAATCCTCTATTTCTTATGGAACCCAAAGGTTTGTTACGTTCACAAAAGCTCACTGCTGGTGCTATCCTGAGCCAGGAAATTGGATATACACCCTCCAACCATATTATACTAAGATAAACTTTAATATTATTCTTTCATCTATGCTTGCATCTTCTTTGTAAAGGTTTATTTATAATAGCATTACTGGTCTTAGTTATTTATTTTTATATATTCATATCTATTCTTTATGCATTTATGAGAGTCTGTTTATACAAATTAGTTGGACTGTTGTGTTGCATGCATATATACTGCTGAGAAGTGGGCATGAGACTGTTTAAAATGTTTCCCAGGTTGCACAGAAGCATTTGCCATGAATATTGGGTTTAATGTATTATTTAAAACATGCACTAATTTAGTATTATGCAGCTGTATTATTTTGGCAGGGGTAAAAATAAGAAAGACATGCTGGTAACTGAAGTTCAGTAAATTTTATTGTCTATAATTGTATATCAATACAGACAGCATTTATAATCAGTTGTACTTGCAACTAATATAACAGATGTACAGTGAATTCTATTTAGTGCATGTTTTTAGAATAGGTTTTAAAGATGCAAGCTGGATGATATGTGAACATTTTAATAAGAACAATATTGCATGGCAAATGTTAAGAAGTATAGTAGAGTGAAGGGTTCAAGTTAATTTTTGATATAAATATTATTTCATGTATAAGAATAATAATTTCAGATTGAAAATCTCATCTCTTAAAATATATGTATAAAAATAATTGTGGGTTTCAAAATTTCTAAGATATTCTGTGAGTTAAACCAGGAGATTAAATTAAAAGCTTTATTGTTATTTGACTTTTTCCCTGGTGTTGGTTGTAAAAGTAACCAGGAGACATCCAGTCACTTAAAATTGCAATGTTGTACACTGTTCACATTTAAAATAATATAAGCAGCTGAGACCGTAATAATGATGAGGAAACACTTTTCAGCTACCTTTAAAGATCAGAAAGTTAAGACAGTTACTGATACCATGTTCTGATTGTGCAAAATCAGAATTTTAAGCACAATATAATGCAGAATTGTATGAAAAACATAGGGTATGTGAATATTTAACACATTAGCTTCCAGTAAATTTTTTCTAGGTATAAATTTTGCCCTGTGACACTGGTAACCTTAACAATTTCATATCACTTATTGTATGAACTGTATGTCAGAGTTTTCTTGCTTGGTCTGTTCATAATTAGACAGTGAATATTCAGACTTTTCTCCTGTTGTGGATGGTCCCCAATAAATTGACTTACTAGTTATAAATAACTTCAAACTTCATAACATAACGTATGTCAGTGAGTTGAAGCTCATAGCATAACTCTGGCCTTTCACTGTGCCCAAAAATAGGCTTGTTATTAGTACACAATGGATTGTTTAATGACAGTAACAGCATAATTTCCATGAATACAATTTAACGATTCTGCACATGTATGATTACGACTTCCATGTGAAATATTAGCACAGACATATGATCAGATGTTTTGTGTATAAATGTGTTGTAACCTTTGCTTTAAATCAGCAGGTGTTCAGTTATAATATTAGGGTAGACCTTAGAATTGTAAAATTTACAGTCCTTCTTCACAGAGGCATATAAAAATACTTTATATATATTGTGAAAAATGTTGAAATACATTCTTCAGTGCATTTCATGATAAATTCTTGCTCATATATAATCATTCCAGGATACTTAATAACACTACAAACATTAGTAAAGATAACAGATTTGTTAAAACCTTGCATACTGTGCAGTATATTGATATATGAAATAATGCATACAAACAAAACTGTTTACACATTAATGTGTATGCATGATTTCATATAACATTTGTTATTCATTTACTCTAACATTAATTGGATTTGTAGATATATTTTTGCATAGGTAATGATTTTAATGTTCCTATATTACAACTCTGCACGGCTGCAGTTTCATCTGTATAGGTTCGAGAACACTAATGATGCTTTTCACTGTGTCCTGAGTTTTCATACTGTAACTGTACGTTTAAAAACTAGGAAGAGGTTGGACCATTAAGGAATGGTTACAGAATGTAGATTATTGGAGTAAGTCTTAAATTATTTGCTGTGTTCAGCACTTTCCATGTATAATCCATTGTTGTAAATCTCCAGATAATTAAAATTTAAAAAATACAGTGAACACTAATTAACTTCAAGGTGATGGATTTGGTGTGGTTAGACACTTATCAATGATTGGAAAGTTTGGTTTTATGACATTTCATTAAAATAACAAACCAAGTAAGTACTTTTGCTTTGATGGTTTAGAATATTAATAATGGATTCTAATTAAATACTGCCTGTTGTATATCACGCGTAAAAGCCAATTAACATTTGTATGTGGTACATGTGAAGGGTAAACTTATTATCCATATATTTTTATAAACACATTAAGCATAAATATATAAAAAATATGAGCTGAGATGTTTATTGTGGTCATACTTTGTAGATTTGTGTGTAGTAGTAAATACTGTGCATTTGCAAGACTGCTAGGAACAACTATAGTGTGCCAGCTTGAGATACCTTATTTTTGCTAACTGAAATGAACAGATAGAAGAATTATCTGCAACATGGAGTTTTCAGTTATGAATTTACATTAGTATTTATTGTGGCCAGAAAATTTTGTTTTAGCGTGAATTCTGTGTATGTTTGTGAAGGGACAGCGAGCTCTTAATCCAGCTACCCTGTGCTTTACCTCAATGGCGCCACGCCACTTGTCAGCAGCATGTCGTGCAAGTTCCATTCTCTTCTGTTTGCGAATCTGGTGCTTCTTGTAAGCCATCTCAATGATAATGAGGCCAATTCCACCAACAATGCCAGCTGCTACTAGAATGAATACGCCTGCCATATTCTTTAGACCTAGGGTGTTGGGTGTTTTTTCAAATTGTTCACATTGTTGAAAATTTCCTTGTAATATCCAGCGGTTATCCAGACTTTCCATGATGCCACCTGCAATAAAACAGTGGCACTTAATTTATTGCATTTACAGGTATTGTGTTTTATTTTAACATTATTAAGAATATACTGTCCACTGATGTAAAACAATTTTAGAACATCACACAGATATAAACAAACAGAGACCTTAACTGAAAAAGAAAGTAAAAAAATACAAATATTGATATGAATTTCATTATGTTAGTGTAGAGATTACTTGAATAGTTACACCTGTTTTACAGACTTAATGTGAAAACTTTGCAGTTAAATGTCCATTCCTTTTATGTGAAAAGTTTGTAAACATTTAAAAAAGTTAGCAACAGTGAGGTAATTATATTTGTTGAGGACTTATTTGAGCTGTTATCACTAGTACATGTTAACTATTAAAATTTAACTGTAAATGTACACTTCATTTAAAAACAAAAGATTAGGCTGAAGAAGTCTGAGATATACTTTCCATTAGCATGTTACATTTTGAGGTTCCAAAAGATAAGACTTCAAAATTTCTCTAAAATCAATCATACTGCTAGTTCATGGAAATGTAATATGTCACCACTTAGATATTGCACATTTGTTTATATTGATTCCTCATTTAAAATCTTCTTTTCAATATTTATTTACTTTATAATTCCACATGATTTTGGTCTCCCGCTAGGTTTCATGATTTCATTTACATGTCTAAGGCTGCTCTTGGTATTCCCTCATTGACCACTTACATAACATGGCATATTGTTATAATCTTAATTTTTGCAATAGGATCTTCCATACAATAATTTTATTCACCGTCTTTACACAAGCTTATAGATTGTTAAAATCACATAAAATTATAACATTTCAACATTTGATATTGTTACATTTTAAAATGACGACATGTTTCGATGTTCATTCCATCATCGTCAGGTCTATCAATCAAAATTAAAAACTGTTGCAAAAATTGATTTTGCAGATTTAAGGCATCCAGGCGCAGCCCTCAAAATTAAATGGAAGAAGCCTGGAGGTTAAACAAATAAAATCTAACGGGTAGAACAAAATCAGTATACGCAGAGCAGCAGATGCAACAGTTTTTAATTTTGATTGATAGACCTGACGATGATGGAATGAACATCGAAACATGTCGTCATTTTAAAATGTAACAATATCAAATGTTGAAATGTTATAATTTTATGTGATTTTAACAATCTATAAGCTTGTGTAAAGACGGTGAATAAAATTATTGTATTGAAGAACACAAGCATGACACAATTAAGATATAAGGATCTTCCATTGTAAAAGTTCATAAGAATTGATTGGACACGTGTGTTTGTGTTGCATGGGTCAGCTATATTGTGGATTACAAGTTGCACAGAAAAGTAGATTAGTAGAGAAAGACATAATGAGAAGGGTGAAGGAGATATGAAAGCATGGCTGCTCAGGAATCATCAGGTAGAGGATAGAGGAAAACTGGAGGAAAGGAAGGATTTTATATAATAAACTGGAAACAACGTATTTTATACGGCGTGAATGTTCAGTACCTTTGAATTTAGTATATTATTGCAGTCCTGCACAACTATTATACACTCTTACTAGAAAACTTGAGTCTTTATTTTGTATTGTAGCAGGCATTCCAGCTTCTTTATTTCTTCCTCTGTTTAATTTTTCCTTCATCCTGTGCGTTGTTCCATATCTTCATTTCTGAACATGACTGCATTTTATTACGTTGTTTTAACAAAGGCTTCATGCAATCAGTCCTGCAACTGGCTCTTACTTGGTTAGTGTGCATCATGCATTGTAGTTATGCTTTATTTCCAAACCAAGCATGTGAAAGAAGACCAGTACAAGAGGCTTTCATAAGTTGTGCAGGCTGCATAACAAAATCTTCAAAGCCACTGAACATTCACTCTGAATATGGCTGTCAAATTAGATTTTTAAATATGTGTTCAGACTCACTCTCATGAAAATCTAGAATAGCGAGAGTAACAGCGTCAGCCCATGGGGAACCTTTCTGTAAGCCAATCCCATATCCTGAGCGCCCAAATAATTCACCTGCTGTAACCAACTCACAGTCTTGTGCTGCTTCAAATTCTAACCGAGAACTGTCCCAGATGAAGGCCATGAGTTTCCTGTGCAAATAAATGATACATGGTATAGTAGAATATGTTGCAGTTTTTAATATAACTGTTCAAAATAGATGTATGAGGGGGCTCTGTCCATCTGTAGAAATGTGAGGAATAATGGGAATGAAGTATTGTAACAAGAATCACAAATTTAGTAATGTATTCTGTGCTTGAAAAATGGGTTTTTTAATTTCATGTGGGAAGTAACTTGCACCATCACAGCAAATGTTCATGAAAATATGTGTTAGCAATTAGTCCTTGATGTATATTATTTCTCACCAGTCCAGTTCTAGTGTGTGTGAAAACCAGGGGCACTAAATATCATTATGTATGGTATATATTATTCTTATAAATGGCTAGCTAAAGTACCCATTATTCACCTGGATTCTTTCTAAAGTAAACTGCCCTGTGAAATGAAACTGCTTATTATATCACACACCTTTAATGATCTGTTATTTAGATTATAACTGTATGTATATTACATTAATATTCTACCTGCATGTTCAGTAAACTTCATGAAACAGTGTAAACAATAACAGGGTACTGTAACCTCATAACTAACTTGTGAATGTTTGCACACTACAATAAATAGATCACTTTATGCATTAAGGCATATATGTTTGCTTATTGATGAAATGATAATGGACAGAGGTTGCTTCATGCACTGTTTATGGCTTCCAGCAAACTCTGTTAGGCAGGAAGGGTTTTATATAGGGTGAATTATAAAGATATAAGAAGTAAAATACATAGTGGCACTTAAATTTATGCTGTTTCTTTTAGCATTGTGAGATTTATTGTGGCAGAGATTTGGAATGTCTGGAAACTTTGGAGAGAGCAGTGACTTTTCAGTCTTCCATAAGCAACAGCCTGTGTCAGAATTATTCAGATGCTGCTAGCATTTGTGGCTGTGATAAAAGAGCACTGTCTTGACTTTTAAACTGTTATGAATGTAAATGCTTTAAGCTAAATTCAGACCAACTGAAGGAATCATTAGGTGATTTGTAAGAAGAGCCAATGAACCTACCCTTGTTTGACATCTTGTATGGCTTCCTCAGCAGTGTCATAATTATTCGCCTCCATGGTGCGGTACATATTAGACAGTTCCACTTGTCGCCTGAAGTACATGTCCACTGCAGAACCTTTGACTGTGGCACAAGTCAGATTTTCCATTGTGTTTCTTAGCTGTGAAAGAAAATGAGAGTAACTGTTTATGAGTACGTGATATTCATTTAACAATTCAGATTAGCTTAAACAAATGTTTCTCGAAACTCCTAATGATAAAGGAAAAAGTAGCAACTAGGAACTGTAAACAGTCATTAAATTTAATTTCTCTCCAGTCTATTAATAACATCATCTTGGGTTATCAGCTGTATCAGTTTGTTAAAAATTGATGTTTCAGAGACCATCTCCGTCCCCGTCATCATCAAATTGTAATACACCTTCCCAGATTCATGGGAAACTGGGTGGGAACATATGGATTGAATTAATTTGACTCAGGATGGAGATGGGTGATTGGCTTTTGTGAAAACTGTAGTGACCCCTTAGGCTTCATAAAAGGAGGATAATTTCTTGACTAACTGAGCAAATATCAGCTCCTGTCGAACGTCATGATCGAGTGGTTAACACTCCTGCTTTGTATTTGGGAGGTTCCAGTTTCCAATCTCTAATAATGTTATTCAATACAAAAGAATTTACAGAAGAATGAAAAGGAGAATTGCATGAAAGTAGCAATCTAGTAGTAAATCTAACTTACTCTTGCATCATTGATTCCAGTGAGTTTTGTCTTGGGCCTCTCCAACACAAGGAAAGCAGCCAGATTGGCTGTGTATGAGGCAACAATGATCATAGCAAAGCCTGCCCATACCATCCCCAGAACCCTTGCCGAGAAACTCCTGGGAGTGCCTGTATATAATGGAGAGAGAAGCTGCTTTCAAAGGTAAAAGAAAAGAAAACTTCATATATGTATTAGTGATGTATAACCATGTCTTAAAAGTTTGTATTTCAAAGTCTGCATTGAGGAAAGCTTAACCCTTCTCAATGTCAGTTAATAAAACTGGGTGTATTATAAATATTAAAGTTACCTTCTCCAATGCCGCTGTTCAAAAGAACACCCCAAGCAAACCAAATGGCACTAGAAAGGTTGAGGGCATCCTCCTCGGTAGCATCAGTATTAGCAAGTTTGAAGCGACCAAAGGGAGAAAATCTGTCCAGCAAGTAAAGCACCAGTGCAACAACATGTACTGAAACCATCACCAGGATCCAGAGTGTATTGCTGAATGGCTGCAGAAATGACACCAGTGTAGAAGATCTTGAAGGCTGGAAGCATTATAGAACATTGATGTTGACTAGGTTAGTGTAACTGCCTTGTGGGATAATGTTTTCACACGTGTGAAATGTGAGTTCTGTACATTAAAGGTTAATGTGCTACTTAAAATCATAAATGTTGCTGAACATCAGTAGTAAACAGCGGAGTAAAGTAGTCTTTGCTTTGTGTGACTGAATCCAAACCTGTGGAGTGTCTGTGTTTGCATTTGTATGTATGCAGGAATATTTTGCAGCTGGGTCAGTCAGTGTGGTTGATATACCCTATCTGTGAAAATTATTCTCTTGCATATGAATAACTAAACTCACTTGTAGACTTCGTGAAAGCCCTAAGAACTACTCCATGAGACTGTTTCTTGGTGGTGTTACCCTTTTGGCCGAATAAAACATGTTCTGAGGTCGGGATTGTTGTGGATGTTTTCTAACTTGCATATACAGAAAAACTTATTCTGAGATATATCAATGGAATGATGAAAACAAATAGGCTGAATATATAAAGTATGCCTTCAAAGGTTTTCTGTCACAGACAACTTCAACAAAAAATGCTTGGTCATTTGATGTCCAATATAATAGAGTAGGCTCTAACCTGTTTGAAAAGACATATTCATGTTTAAGCTTACTTTTTTTTCAGTGCAGGAAAATAACAGGAATGTCATAGAGGGTTTTATTATGTTGAGAGCAAAAGATTTGTGGCATAAGAATCAAGAAATTTTAGTAAAACGTTTTTTAAGAAAACACAGGTGAGTAAAAGGTCTTTTCACTAGTTCTGTTATGAAACTGCAAGGAATAACACATTAAAGAGTTAAAAATAAAGTAAATCTCTCCCACTATACACCATGTAGGTGCTTGGGAGGAGTAGAGGTATATACGTAGCTCCTACTCATTTGTAACCTTGGCACTGGATGGGGATGAGTGGTCAGCGTCACACCCCGGCCAAGCTTTACCCCTGGGAAAGGACTCAGTACCCATTGGATAGGAGGCTGGATGGGCCTCAGAACCGGTCTGGATGCAGAGGCTAGAGGAAAAATCCTCTGCCCACATCAGGGATCAAACCCAGTTGTCCAGTCTGTAGCCAGTCACTACTAACTGAGCTACCCCAGCTCACAATGAGTTAACTTACATGCATTAAAGTACATTATGGTCTCTGTTATAATAAATTTGGAAACAAAATGTATGGAAATTAAAGAAGATACATACACATTAAGCAAACAGAGTAAATGCTGAATTGTACAGTACCTTCTTTTCCAATATTGTTATTCCCTGATACTTGAACGGTTTACTAAATTCAATGAACTCTGCTCTTTCTGGATTGATGGTAAGTGGTGCCACGATCATTTCAGCTTGCTGGTTTACCAGTTCTCCAATCAGTCCTGTCCACTCTTTCTTTCCAGGCACTAAGTCAAAAAATAAATAATATTCCCTTTCATATAATATCTGTTTTAAACATGTAACTCATGATACATTGAAGGTTCATAATTTGGTGTAAGGTTGATGGAAATAGGTGTAGGATCCTGGTTAATCTCTCTTGAAAAATACTGCCCCAGTATCTGCCTTGAAAGACGGTAGTGATTTATGGTAAATCACGTGGGATTTAGGGATCTCATTATGAAGATGTCACTTGTGGTCTTCTGGGTTATGATGCCATGTAGACTTGTAGGTGGTTATCAGTGTTTTGTATGAATGTATCATCAGTGTTGAGTCACATTCACATTCTTCTGAAACATTGGTAACCTCCTACAAGACTACATTGTGTCAACTTAGAAGACCACAAACAGTTTTGACTACTGACATTTATACTCTGTGCTGAAGTTGCCATTGTTTATGGTCACTGAAAACTCCCCTTTCACTGTATTGTATAATTAGTTTGTGATTCTCTTCTGTTTTGTGTAGAAATGTCATTGGGAAAAAGAATATGTCCTTTGACATTGAAGTACACAAAATATTTTGTTGAATCTCCCATTAGAGGCTAATGTTTCAAAGAATCTGACAGCAGTAGCCTGTGATTTCTATTTTGGACAAGACAGCTGTCTTAGAAAGGAGATTCAGTTCCTTGATGGTATCAGACACATGGTTAGTGATGTAATATAGTAGAAAGGAAAATATTTTGCTGGGTCCTTTCTTAGCCTACTCTTCATGATAAAAATGTCACTTATTTTTAGGTTATTTAGTCCAGACACATATACCCAGAGCTGGCAAAAATAAAAAGTCTGTTGCACTGGTATATATTGGAGTAGTAGATTTTGCATGAATTCAGAAGATAGTCAGTTCTGCATCTTTCAGTGATGCAGTAACCTGTGGAAGGTAGTAGTTTGTATTTAACATTTGCATTTCAAGACTCCACAAGTATTATGAAAATGGCACAAAATTTTTAAAATGTTGGCGAAATCTAACAAGTTGTATATGAATGGGATATTGTCATTTTCATATAGTTAATAGATCTTCATTTAAGGAATGGTACTCCATTCACACACAGAAGAAGGCAATGGCAAACCTCTTCTGGATCATCTGCCAAGAACGTATATGAACAGGTCCCAGTCCGAGAAAAGGATGGAAGGATCCTGTTCATATGGACCTGTCGTCAGACAGAACACTAAATAAATAAATAAAATATTCCATGAAAATGCCATTTTAGAAAAATAACATATATGCCATTTTCATTCCCATGCATTCACTTAAAAGGGTTATATCAGTGATGATCATTGTGTAGGTGTTCTTGCACTTTGTCCATTTCATAATTAATATAACCTATTTCCTTCCATCCAGTGTTGCAGTGCATCAGTCATATGAATTTTTATTTGGATTGTATTTTGTCATTAAAAGTAATGGAATCAGGGGATGAAACACAAACAGCATAGATGATTTACACAGCACTCCTATTATTTTAAGGAAGTGTTAGTCATTATTAGATAGCCTGGAAATGTGCTTTGAATGAAAAACCAAGAAATACGTGTAGAATTTTGTAGGGAATTCTGTTAGACGATGTAGATTGAGGTGTAGGTCAGTAAGTGGTACAATACTTACCAGTGCTGTTCCTTATAATATAACTACCAAATTGGCCATCTGGAGATAATAATAGCTCATAAGTGATATTAATCTTTTTTGCCAATTCCTTGAGCAGGTCCATACAGAATCCCTTGCAGCAGTATTGTTTGAAACCTATATGGAAAAATAACACATATTTAAACTTGCAAATTGAATTTGGTGTTACTGTTGCCCTAACCAAAATCCAGCTAAATTCTGGGATCAGTATATTTTAACACCATACAATGCAGCTGCATTTTATTTGAATGCAAGAATAAAATTTAATCACACTAATAAGTGTGTATCCTCGTTAGCCCAGTGTTGCTAAAGTTTACTGGTACTAAAACAAGGAATGTCTTGTGAACGATTGAAAGTTTAATGTTAGGTGACGGAAGGGGGGGGGGGGGGGGAGGGAAAGGCAAAGGAAAGAGAAAAGAAATGTGCATGCACATTAGTGAGAAGAATTTTTGTTGGCAGAATATCACCATACAGGATCAGCAACTTTATTTTCCAGAGGACTGTTATTTTAACATCAGTTGGGAGTACTTAACAAGACTGATGCTTTGTGTTCTTCAGCCCCTCAAATTAAATGGTGGGATAGTAATTCAAAGTAGGCCATGATCACTACTACCATACACTTTTGAGCTCAGTTAATAATCCTTGCATTTTTTGGAGTTGTAGCTACAGTTTCTGCAGTGGATTCACCACAAAAAAGTAAATAAATCTGTTTTCACCATCATTCGTATTGTTGAAGTGTGGGCAGGGAATCTCATCTGGAGTACATCCATCTCCTTCAGCTTGGAGTTCACGTACATATACAAATGGCTTCTCTTCAATGGTCAGAACCTTCAGATGGGTTGGGATCATGAATCCAGGAGGCTGATTCTTTGTGTTCCCAGGCCATATGATAGCACTTTTATCTAGTTTCAGTTTCATTCGTTTGTGTTCCTGTGTGTAGCATACAGAAAATACAAGTTTTGTCTTATTTGTTTAGGAATAGACTAACAGTGCTTTATTAAAATGTAAGTTAGGTAATATTTACTGTTGATATTAATAAACAGTGATATTTTCTAGTTTCACATGTGAAATTGAGGAAATTGCCATTTATACTTACATTTGAATAATGATGTTGTCCAACTGAAATCTGTGTTTGATTCTGGACATTAATAATATCATACTCGGCATTGATTCGGTCTCCATTATCATCAAATGCCACATTACCTGTGGATCCATTCTCTAGGGTTTGTTTCCTGATGAATCTGTCGGTATTATTTTGGAAACAGGAAAAGAAAAAGGAAAGAAGATCGTGTATTAGTTTGAAAATGACAGTTGTGAAGTATTGCACATATTAAGATATCTTTGATATTAATGACAAAACCTGTGCAGCCTCCTATCTGATTGATATCTGAGTGTCTTTCCCCAGAAGTAAAACAGCTACAATTCAAGCTGACTACTCACCACCATCTAGTTCCAAGCTCTTCTTCCACTCCATATACTTCCTTCATGTCTTAGTGCTTAGACACTTGGAAAACATACCTTTAATTTATTGTTTTGTATATTATGTATATGTGAAGAAATGAGCAAGGTTAATGTAGATCATTTCTTTTTACAGCAATTTTCAGTGAACTGCATTATGTTATTTTTGCAAGCTGTCTTTTGAAATATTAATTGTATTTTCTGTAAACGAATTTGGCTAGGTAGACTTGCTATATATCCCCCCCCCCTTATTTTACAACACACGTCATTGATTTAACAAATGGTAAATATTACATTTTTTCACATGTATATTATGTTGAAATCCTGCTGTAATTAAAAGGCAAAATTACTTGCTGGCCCTGTAACCTTATACCTACTCTGTTCTCAAAACCCTATTAATTGTGAAAGAGTTTTTATATATTATATTTATGAGCTCACTCAAATAGTGCCTTTCCTGTTTCCCATATTTGTCCTGAATTCCCACAGTCTTTCGGTGCTTTTGTTATAACCTCTGTCTGGTTCATTTGGCGCAAGGCAGATGCCAGTACATAACTGTAAAAAAATATTAATAGAATTTTACTGTAATGAAACAATGAAACTTACAGCAGAAATTGTCTATATGAAATTAATGTGAATGATAAGACACTTACATGCTATCTTTAATGTGATTTTCTTCGCTAGTAGCATTGACTAATTTGAGTCCTAATATTCCAATAGGAACATTACTAGCTTCCAGAGCTTGTTCAGTCACAATCCAGGCATAATCTTTGCCAGTCATATTGAGAAGACTAGCATCGTGGAAAATCACCTTGGAATCTGTTTCCCTGAAATTGTATTTATTTTTTAAGATATCTTGCATGTGTGCATATATAGGTGCCTGAGAAAGTTGTTACATGGAAGAAAAATTCACATATGAAGAATTATTTATTACAAAGACTTTCAAAAGGATAAATGTCCAAGTTATTTTTCATGTTCTGGTATCGTGTACCATACTTCAACGTGGGCACCATTCATAGCTTGACAGACATCAAGATGATGACCTCTTGCCATGTGTTCTCAGGTATAACGTCTGTCACTGTTGTAGTCATCTCTGTGATGCGATTTTGCAATGTCCAAAGGTGTGGAAGACATTCTGTATGTTCCCCCACTGGAAAATGTTGGGAGCTGAGGTAGCTCAGTCAGTATAGTGACTGACTATGGACTGAGTGACAGGGATTTGATCCCTGAATGGGGCAGAGGATTTTTCCTGTAGCCTCTGTGTCTAGATCAGCTCTGGGACCCACCCAGCCTCCTGGCCAATGGATCCTTTCCTTGGTGTAAAGCGTTGGGCATGAAGCTGACCACTCAACCCTATCTAGTGCTGAGGTTAAGAATGAGTAGGAGCTATACCACTTCTCCCACCAAGTGCCTACATGGTGTATAGCAGGACAGCTTTTTTTTTCCTTCCCAGGAAAATGTACAGGGGTGATGATGATCTTCTGGGTTGTGAAGTCATAGATTTGTAGGTAGATACCAAGATTTTGGAGAAAACATGCTGTCCCCATCTTTAGAGCTGAAAATGGAGACAATGTTTTCTCCATACCTATGAGTCTGTTTGGTGTCATAACCCAGATGATGATCATCCTCACTGCTGTGAGAACCTCAAGTCTCCAGAAGTGTTTGGTCTGGTGAGCTTGGAGGCTATACCAGTGCACTGCCTTATAAAGTCCATTTGTTGAGGAAGTATTTCTATATGCTGCTGCAGCCATGCTTCACTTGGCAAATTATGTGTAGCATAGTGTTCTAACTTCTTCAGGTATGAATGATATGTCACTAGTGTCTAAGAAACATGAAGGCTCACTAATGCACTCTTCCATTATACCTCAACATACATGTTTACTTTTGATATATCCCTTTTATATTCAGTGATTTGATGATGTGGCTTGCTGTCCCAAATTCTGAAGTTATGCTTGGTCACCAAATTCATGAAATTCCTTAACATTTTTAGAACTAGCCCCATGAAAAGAGTTACGATGCTGATAGTCACCCAGATCGTTAAGAAATTCCCCACCTATGGAATTTAAAAGTTCATTACCATATTAACAAGAGCCTGCCACTGGATTGATCCTATCCTGAGCCAGATGAACCTATCCACACCTTGAAAATCATCAAAATTAGTCCAAGGATGCCGCTGTGTGGTTCACCATAAAGTATAAGGCACAAGGCAGACGTTGTCATTACATACATATATATGATGTGGCTCTACTTTCAGTCATCCTCATTAGTCTGTCACATGAAGTATGTGGAATATCATATATATCTTACCCAGCATACATTACATATACTCGTGACTGAGCATTCTTTACTTCCAAAAGTTGATCAATGAAGTTATCCAGTCCAGGTTCAAATTCAATCACAGATTCCACCTGCACAAATACAATGACAACATTAAATGAAAGTCATAACTAATTGATATCACTAGAAGAGCTGTGAAATTACTTCAATTACAAATTGAGCCAAACTTTATTTTGCTAATTTTAAGGTCTGTGTTGTATATACGGGAATGAGGAACCAAGAATTTTCATTGAAGAAACTATTGAATAATGGAAGCTGAAATGTGTCGGCTAGTGACCTAACTCTTTGACTTGTGATTATGATGACATAAATAGATTTAAAATTGTAATACATAACTATAATGAAATATATATAAAAAGCTGTAATCAGAACCTTACAACAGCATGTTTACATTCTGAGATCATGATTAGTTGGAAGTTCAGAACTGCTTGATATTGAGTGGTTTACTCAACAGTCGAGATGTGTTTGAGCTGGTGAATAATTAGTCGATTATCAATGTGTAGTGTATTGCGCAGTACAATAAACACACTAGCATTTTATTGTTGTACATATTTTGTGACCATTCAACTGTGTATGTTACCAGCCATGCTGAGCAAAACAGATTTCCTGTTGTGAATTAGAGTTATGCTTACTTTCAGCACACATTATAAAAAGTTTAATGTGGGATCTATATGCTGTTTATGAGCCGGGATAGCTCAGTCAGTATAGTGACTAGCTACGGGCTGGACAACCGGAGTTCGATCCCCGACGGGGGCAGAGGATTTTTCCTCTAGCCTCTGCGTCCAGACCGGCTCTGGGGCCCACCCAGCCTCCTCTACCGGGGTCCTTTCCCGGGGGTAAAGCCGGCCGGGGCGTGATGCTGATCACTCACCCCCATCTAGTGCCGAGGTCAAGGAAGAGAGGAGCTATACCTCCACTCACCCCAAACGCCTACATGGCGTATAGTGGGACAAACTTTACTTTAATTTAGTTATCTATATGCTGTTTTCTCAGAGAAAATAATCAATAGAAGAGTATGGCAGTGATATTCCCCAGATCTGACTGTGTGTGATCTTTATGTTTGAGAAATCTTCAAACAGAAAACCTATGAAAATAATGCAATCTTTATGGAGGATTTACAGATTGAAATCTGGAATGTTATTAAAAAAAATCATGAATGTGAACTTCGATTTGTGCTATAGAATTTTCTAATTTGTGAAATGTTTATGAATGTTTGAAGATGCCCTTTCAGTAGGTGTTCTAATATCAGGTCAGTAAAACCGTTTTACTGGAAAATGTTTTGAAGTGTGGACAGGTCCTCCAATTAGAGTGTGCAGTAGTGTGTGATTCTTTTATTCATTGGAACTTGCCAACCAGCTGACAGTTAACTCATCAAACAGGAGTAATATGACTGGAAATAAAGGAATGTACATACCATACAGTTTGCATTATAATACTTATGTGCGAACGTATGTGTCTTACCTGCACTTTCATCTCTACGTCTTCTTCTAGACTTTGTGAAGTAGACTGGAATCGCCCCAGAAGAGCCCTGCCATCTGTATCGGAGCTATGAATGAATATCACTTTCCTGTAACCTAAGTGTTTTAGTAACTCCACCCACACATCAGCTTGGTGTGAGTATGGAGGCACTGTGCGCAAGAATGACACATGAATGTTCTGAAACAAGTAAATAAGGCCTATTAATAAAACCATTAAATTGAAGCCCATGCCATTTTTATGAGAACACATGTTGTCCTTGTAAAAGCAATTAATGTAATTGACAATTTTCTCATATTATTGATAATCAGAATTGTTATTTGACTACAGTGTGATAAAATCTTAATAATTTCAGCACTAGTAAAGAGAATTCTGGTGTCCAGCATATGATGATACCACAATATATTTAAATTCTCTGATTCTTTCTGTCATCACCTCCATTTGTTACAATTACCACATTTTAATAATCTGTTAAGGTACTGTTAATATTTGTGAACTCAGTTAATTATATAAATCAGTTATATTTATTTATGTTTTACAATTTTAAAACTTCAGGTGATTTTAAGCTGTACTATGAACAGTTTGGAATTTCATAATTAAATTCCTGGGAAGGTATTAAAGTATGTGATGGAACCAAGCTGAGAATTTGCTTTATATAATAGCGTGGTAGTAATTACAATCTAAGAACCTTGTCAGAAAATGCTGAATCCCTCGAAGATATCCCAATAACTGGTATGTGATAGAAGCCACTAGTATAAGAAACGGCTGCAGGAGAGAGATCACCAGTCAAGGGGTGTGACACCACGACAGCATATACCTACAGTTAGCAAAATCAATTACGAGAGAAGTATATAAATAAAAATATAGCACTCTTGTTATAGTATGTATGTTTATTTGAACATACTACAAAGTTGAAAATAAGTAAAAAGAGATTTGCCACAATGGAATTGAGACATACAGAGAAGAGGACTAGAAAATGATAATTGTCAAAATAAGGCACATAAATGTGGACAGACACCAAAGAAATTATGAGAAGAATAGACTTTACTTGTTTTATAAGGACATAACCAAAATGGAAAGAAGGAGAAAATCTTTGTTGCTTGACAACAAAGGTTTTTACCCAATACAAATTGTTTGACTTAAGCCATTTTTGCTGATCACCATAGATACTTTGCATTTTCTACAGAAGATACGCGTGTCATTGCTTGTTGTAAAATGGAGTGGGTGTACTAATAACAGTAAGAGAAAAATACCAAAAAAGGGAAATTTTTAAATGTATGAATACAGAAAACATGAATGATTTGGAAGGAAATAACTGAAAATAAACACAGAGACAGTCCTATGAATATATGAAAAGAAAGTATGAAAAAACAAGAACAGGTAGAATATTTGTAAATATTTCATTTATATGAAGAAGAATGGATACACAAAGTAAAAGTTAACTGACAAATTGTGTACTGCCAAAGGAATAAATTTGAATTCTAGTAGTTAGTAATATTTTTCATAAAATCAAGAAAAATATATTGAGAGATTAAGAAATTACAAATATACTGGAAGCTATTATAGTTCAAATTCTTATGTAACATGGCTCTGTCGTGGATTCCAACAATTTGGCTACTTGATATAGAGTGTTCTTGCAAACTAGACTGCAGATGATGCAGAAGTTAAACATGATGAATTAGTGATATTCAAAATTGTTGTTAGTTTTCATGTTTCATAGTGGTGGATCATGGTCTTGATTGTGACACAGTGTTGTCTTGTAGGTAGTGATTCCATGACATTACTGAATTATTTTGTATTGTGTACATGTACATATATACAATACAAAATATGTATGTAAACATGTATTATATATATGTACATGTTCTATAGCTCTGACATAACCAAGCAGAGTTCAGCAACAAGGGTTTTTTGTGCGTGCATACATTTGTGTTTTTATGTTGTGAAATTGTGTAAATTTAATTACATTAACATCTCTCAATAACTTAAACACTTGAGTGAATTTTGTACTGAATCAGATCCCTTCTGTCAATGTTGTAATGGCATAAAAAAATTTATGATATTCTGAGGACTTCACCATGATGTCTAAATTCTCTGTGAAATTAGAACGTTTTGGAAGCATTGTGTAGATGATTACCAACATTTTGGAGGAACATATATTACCTCCATGTTAAGGTGAGTATTTCCTTATATAATGAAAACTTTGATTTTGTTAAATTGATTATATGACAGGAAGAGGGATAGAAAATATATTTTTTACTCATTAAAATAAAATATTTATTATTTTAAATGTTTTATTAAGGAAATTGCATACTACCATGTGTATTTATGTAAAGAGCAGAACAGTAAATGAAAGCATCTTTTAAATTTTACATTTTTGTTAAATCACTATTATTGTCTGCATATTATGAGAAGTTGGCATTTAAGGACAGTGTGACAGATAATTGCATACTCTACAGAAGGGATCATAAATAATTCAGCAGCTGCCTGGTGGCATACCTATTATTTCAGGGACAAAGTGTGTATATGTACATGCTACAAATACATAAGAAATGGCCATCAATGCAAAATGAATACAGGAATACTTAACCTAACTACAGTATACAACTACTATAATAGTTTGTAAACTCTACTAGAATAAAACAGTGTCTAATAACAAATTTGACCATTTTAATATAATGGAGATGAAAACAAAAATTGACATGAGGAAAAATATATGGTACTATAAAAATGGGCAAACTACTTTGCATGTGAGTGATGGTCACAGTTAGTCTTGGCCACATCTTGCTGAAAACATTTATTTCAGGCTTCTATTCTGGATGCAGTCAAGTCCATTGTTAAATGATTTTTCAGTTATTAGTAGAATCATTATCAAGTTGTTAGACCTATGACATCATCCACACACCAAGTTGTTGCCAATTATGATACTGTAGATGTAAGCGATGTAATGAGGTATACTTACTGATTGATTTATGAGATAGTTACAAACATTTAGAGCAGTGCGTATTGGATTTGGATCCATTAAGATTGCAGTGGAGTCATATGTTACACCTTTTGGAACATACTTACTATTGAAATTCAAATGCTGTAACAAATAAAATTCATTTTATGTAGAAGATTATAGATTGTATGGCTTTTGTTATAGACACATTACAAACAAAACATTCTGAAAACAGAGTACAGACATTTTGAGTTGGGGGTTTCATTTGTATTATATCTGAATATACAGGAAATGTTTTACTACATTGTATTTTCCACATACTTTACCAGTATATGTACAATTTGCAGATATTGATAATATTCAATAAAATCTTCTTGGGCAATCAGCCGCATTAGCTGGTTACTGTAGTACACCAACGTTTCGGAAACAAACTGTCCCCATCTTCAGGGTTCTGATGTGACTGGATCCTCAGAAGTCGCCTGTGTAACTGCCTGCTCGGGACCAGGCCCAAGGAGCTAGGGGGCGAAGTCAAGCGTTCGGTTTGTTTGGCTCTGCTTACTTCCTAGCGTTCCCCCAACATTCCTGAGCATGTTTGTCACCGGATACCATGCTCGGCTCAAGATAAAACCCCCATCTCTATTAAAGTTGTCGGGTTGCAGCCGGATCTCTATGGCTTCCATTACAAGTCAGTCCATGTATCCAGTTGCTTTTTCTAGTATCGTGGTGTTGTTGAAGTCAATGTTATGACCTGTTTCGATGCTGTGTTCCGCCACCACAGACTTGTCTGGTTGGCGAAGACGTATGTGTCTCATATGCTCTTTGCATCTCGTGTCAATGGTTCTACCAGTCTGCCCAACATATACTTTGCCGCATTCACAGGGAATGCAGTATTTACTGGGAACTCTCAGACCCAATTTGCCCTTGATGGATCTCAGCATATGGATACTCTTCCTGGCTTTGGATGTGGATGATCTTGATGTTATGTTTTGCCAACAGTCTGCCAATCTTGTTCGAGGCATAATACTGATATGACAACATGGCCACCCCGCTCAGCTCTCCACGTTGCAGCAGCGGCTTATGCTTGGGATACAGTGCCTGATTGATTTCCCGATTGCTGTATCCATTTTGCCTGAAGGTTTTCTTCAGGTGCTCAATTTCTCCCTCAAGGCTTTCAGCGTCGCAGATGGTTCTTGCCCGTCAGATGAATGTGTTCAATGCTACCCTCTTCTGGGCTGGATGGTGTTCGGACTTTGCATGCAGGTCCAGATCTGTGTACGTAGGTTAACTATACACAGTGTGTCCGAATGAACCATCTGTATTCCTGCTTACACGGATGTCCAAGAACGGCAGTGTCCTGTTTTGTTCCACTTCCATCGTGAACTTGATGTTACAGGTACGACACATTTGTAGTTTGGCCCCATGGAAAAACAGAACTCCAGGTTTTTCTATAGCACCTGAACAGTATCCACCCTACATCAAGCCTGAAGATCACAGCATGTTTCTTCAAAGAATTGGCATCTACTTACAAGTCCACATGGTGTCACAAGGTAGAAGAACATCTTCATCTGCTGCTAAACTAGCTCAATGGAGCAGAGTCCTTTTTGAGAAGCTCATAATACACTCAGCTAGTTAGATTCCTTACATTTTATGGAACCCAATGGTTTGTTAGAGCCTGCCACCATTACCTATCCTGATCCAGATGAATCCAATCATCATCCCCAAACTCTGTATCCATAATATCCATTTTAATACTATCCTCCCATTTATGTCTGGGTCTCACAGGTTTCATACCGATAATAAACAGCGTGTAAAATAATGATTCTGGGTTTGAAACTACAAGCAGGAAATAAATTAAGTCCCATATTTAAAAGGGAATAACAATTTGCTGTCTTCCATGCAAAGCTATAATGTTAAAATATTTGAACTTCCTCACCATGTCAGTTTTGGAACATTGTTTCATCAGCGTATTTCTAAGTGTGAAATTTATGTGTATAATTTTTATATGGTTTATTCATTTAAAATAGAACATATTTTCAATTTTGGGAATATGTTTCTTTAGCTATTGTGTGAGGGATAGCTCAGTCAGTATAATGACTAGCTATGGGCTGGACGACCAGGGTTCGATCCCCGACGGGGGCAGAGGATTTTTCCTCTAGCCTCTGCATTCAGACCGGCTCTGGGGCCCACCCAGCCTCCTCTACAATGGGTACCGTGGTCCTTTCCCGGGCGTAAAGCCGACCGGGGCGTGATGCTGACCACTCACCCCCATCTAGTGCCGAGGTCAAGAAAGAGAGGAGCTATACCTCCACTCTCCCCAAATGCCTACATGGCATATAGTGGGACAAACTATGAGGGTGTGCTAAAAGTAATTGCCTCCATTACTTTTTTCCCCAAGAAACAATCACACATAGGGTTGTGAACGTAATGCACTCATTCAATTAAACTGTGTGAGGTTTAATAGTTCTGCTACAAGAGGTCTCTGAATTGTAGCCATAAAAATGGTCCAGTTTTTAGAGGGTCGGTTGCTGGGTTTGGAGGTTGGGTGCTTTATATCTAGCCTGAAAACAAGACTATCGGTGGAATACCACCACAGAGGTTTTCTAGCACCAAACAAGGCACCTTTTGTTGGCAAAGAAATGGTCACTGATGTCTGGGGAGTTAATGTGCACACAAAATTCATGCCTACTGGTGTCACCATAAACTCAGAGCACTACATCAAAATGCTGTAAAGACTGAAAGAACATATTCCTGTAGTTCATCCAGATTTTCATATTTGTATTCAACACTACAGTATGACTCTTCATAGGCGTGTGAACGATTGCTGATTCGTCCATCACCTTTGATTCACTGCCCTAGACCACCCATCATACAAAACCCAGCTTAGCTCCATCTGATTTCCTTATATTCCTGAAACTGAAGGAACATTAATGGGTATTCCTTCTTGTGATACAATGAAGTCAAGACAGCGGTGAAGATGTTTTGTCAGCAAAATGCACAGTTATATCATGATGGATTCATTAAACACCTGAACTTTGAAGACATTATCGCAGAGGTGATTATGCTAAGAGAAGTAATTATGTAGAATTTCATAGCAGAAGTGAAACTGCCAGTTCCTGTTTCAGTGAATGAAAAAAGAAAAAAGGGAATAACAGTGTTTTACTTTTCAGCATGCCTTCATATTTATAGTTGTTTTCTGTATACATATTGTATTCTGGTTTGCTTACTAGAAGCTGTGGGATGCATCTGTATTATAATCTACTTGTATTGTCTTGTTAATTAGCATTGTAGTGCAGGTTCCATGTTCATAAGCTAATAATCTTTCATCTAATCAGTAAGTTACCCACCTTTAGTGGCATCTGAAGGTTCATTATTATGTTTATAAGAATTGTCCACTGGGCCTGACCTGAGCCAGGTGAAGCCAGTCCACCTATGTCTAAGTCTCCCAAATGATCTCTTCCATTAAAGTTTTCATCCCAGTAATATTTGAACCTACTAACTTTGCAGTTGTCTCTAGCCTTCTATTATGTCCTCTCTCTTAGATCCAGGTATTTTCTCAGCATTCTATTCTATTTGCAGTTCATAGAGTGAGTGTGTTTATACTGCCTGTTAGACTGGTACAGTTCCATATGAAGTAGTGGTAAAACTTTCAGGACCAATACAATGCACTGGTATGAATTGTTTGGGATTTTAAGTTTTGCTTTGATTCTGTGTTATGCTGTAAATGATTTATGATTTTAATGCACATTTGTGGCATAGTGCCCTATCTATGAACCCTCTTCATGCTTTTGTGTCTGTGACATGCAGTGTAACATAGCCTATACCTGGTCTCCAGCAGACTGCTTGAGAGATAAAATACAGAGGTTAAAACAACCCATCACTTACTAACTTTTTTGTGAGAACAGAAAGGTCATTGACAGTGTCAGTACAACAGATGATATGTTATTAAAGTATAAAAAGAGATGTGAAATAAGTGGGACCTGCAGTAAAGTGAATACTGAGTTGCTGACAGTGCATGAAATCACAAAAAGGCATACTACTAGGTTAGACCATGTTGATGATTTTTTTAGTGAAAAGAAAAAGGCTTGTCCTCATTAGATAAGCATAAAGTATTAATCAGTAATAATCAGCAGGTTATTGTATTTTTAATCTCCTTAACTATATATATAAATTGACTGTTTTAATTAATTATATAAGAGTTTATGAAACAAAAAGGTGAGGTAGAAGAATTTTATATATACTAGAGCAACGCGCTCCTTTCAGAGCGCTTTCTCTAATTATTACAAGTCAACTTTCTATGTCCAACTCCACCCTTGCAAATCTTCGTCTTAAAATCGATCATAAATTCAGTTTTTGTAATAGTTTTCATAATCGTAATATATCGAATGAGTAGTATGATTTGAATCATCCTTGGCTTAGGCCTATGAAGAATCAGTGGAATGTAATTAAATTCCCTTCTACTTTGTTCATATATAACTTTAGAGATGCATATTGCTGTAGAATTTATATTGATATAAAGAGTTTTGGTGGCTTGTAAAATAATCATATTCACGGTCAGCACTATTATAGCATAAAAATGTCAAATATGAAAACAATCTCTTCTTAACCTGTCTTTGCTATTGTTTATAAATGCAAAATCATTTTGCATTGTAAAATTGAACAGTATTTATTTTATTCATATTTTAGATATAATTGTACTCAACTGAAATTGTTTCCTTAAAAAACATCTGGCTTTCCATGTTGCTGAGTACTCCTCCAATATTGAAGTAGATTGGATTGTTTTTAATCCGAACATCAGCTGTCACATGCTGCCGTGAATCTGCTGTCAGATATAATGGCTGCATGAGAATGCTCAGTACAAGCAGATGCAATGAAGTAGCCATAGTCTTGTCCACACAGGGTCACACTCAAGTAAAAAGGACAGCAAAATTGTTGATTTTACAGTATTTTCATGTCACAGTTTGACAGTCTGTGAAAAGTTTTAAATATACTGCAGTACAAATGAGCATTTTCTTACAGTTTCCTATGGTACAGTAACCCATATGATTCACACACAACAGTCAGACCACCACCCGGTTTAGAGATCAGCATGGTTGCTATGGCAACAGCCAGCCTGGACCAGTATTGATCCACTGCTCCTCACTAAACATATACACTCAAATGGTATGTCTGCTTTAATAATTTGTTTAAGAAACTATATAAAATCAAAGTGTTTTAAATCTTTAACCTTAATATGAGAAACACACCCAACATGATTAGAAATGAAATAAATGATTAATTTTAATTTAATTTAATCATCTTTGGTAGAAAAAAAACAATAATCCTTCTTAATATTTACAGTGGCATATCTTTGATCTTTATTGGTCACAGAATCAAAACTCGGGGGCAGATCAATGATTACAAATGAATCACTCACTTGTTAGACATATTTTCCTTAGGAAATTGGCTTCGAGGTGGTGATTTTTCAGTTATGTATTAGGAAATGTAGCACACTGGACATTGAAGTAATGTAATTAAATTTTCTATCAAGCGAAATGAACAGAAAAATGTACTGCTGAAGGAGTATTCAAACCTAACCATATAACTGATTTATGAAAAAGCTGTCTTGAGAACCTGATAGTTGCTCAGATATTTCTATGGAATCATAGTGGTAGTGGTGTGTTATTGCTGGGTTACTTTTGTAGTGCAGATTACTGCCTGTGAGTAATCTGAAATAATTACACCACTATCACATCCAGCAAAATGAGTATCAATAGAAACTTCACACACCAATAAATCAAAAAGTTTGTAAGCTGACAGGAAAAAAACTATAGGAATAAAGAATAAGATAATACAAAAGCAACTGAACTACACACCTAATATAGCAATTGGCAATACAGCTTAACAAATATATGGAAGTGCAGTGTAGTGCAGTCTATTATAATATTGGAAATTAAAACACATAATATGTAAAAAGTGTATAGCAAACATTTCATTGAATAAAAATTTTCTTGGATATTATCCATCGTCTAGTAAATATAAAACGTAAAACGACGTTTCGGAGATGGGACTCTATCTCCGTCTTCAGGTTCCTACACAGTTGGGCCCACTAGATAGAGCTAATCCCTATCTCCAGAGATCGGGATCCCATCTCCGAAACGTCGTTTTACGTTTTATATTTACTAGACGATGGATAATATCCAAGAAAATTTTTATTCAATTGACTCTTCACCATCGTCAAGAAGTTTTAGATCTGACAAACATTTCATATTTTATTAAGAGGTAAAATTTCATGTTTTAAATTGTGACAGCAAAGTGAACACTTGCAACCATCCAATTATTACAGAACTTCACAGTATAAATTATGACATCAAAATGAACATTTGCAACCATTCAGATATTTTGGAACTCAAAAGAACACACAAACATATAGCAGCACAACTTGGAAATTTTATTGATATTACTAGTGTAATAATACACTTAAGTTACAGGTAGTATGAATTCCACCACTGTCATAAAATTAGTGATGTCTGATGATGGGTCAATTAAACTCCAAAACATGTGGTAAGAATTGTATGAAATAAATAATGCACCTAAGGGAAAACGTTATTTAATGCAAATTATTATATGAAGACTATGAATCAAATTGAAATATAATATAACTCTGAGAATCTGTCATAACTCAAAAGATACATGTAGAAGTTCATTTTTTTTGTACTATCTGGTCGGAGCTGACCCCTGATGACATTATGAACAAGTTCCCTCTGATATGGACCTGTTCATATGTTTCCTAGGCAGATGATCCAGAAGTGGTTTGCCATTGCCTTCTTCTGTGTGCTTAATGTCAAGTGATGATGAAAGTGGAGTAATTGTTGGGATGCCACAGAGAAACTGGGGAAGCCCCGGAGGAAAACTCCATGATACCTGGACCACGGCCTTGCCCAACACAAGTTATAAATCTGGGCACCACCGGGAATCGAACCCGGAACCCCAGGATTACAAGCCCAGCGTTCTGACCGCTAGACCACCATGGTGGTAGAAGTTCATTTAGGCCTTAAAAAATGTGGCCCTTAAAATGATTCACACTAAACCATAATCAAAATGGCTTAACAAATATGGTGTAGGTCCACCATACAAAGGTTGATCAAACTCAGTATGGTAGTCTGGACCATTTTGGTTGTGGATGGACAAACAAAATTAACAGATGACTTATTTTATTTACATTCTAATTTTCAATTATTTACACGTATTTGTAAGCTAATAATTTTTCTTATTTGAAGTTCATCTAAAAATTATTTACTAGTGTGATAAAGTACTCATGGCTGTTTTATATTTCAGGATACATTCTTCTGGACCATGCTAAATGATTTATGCTGGATCAGACCTACTTCAAGAACTAATGTGTTTGATTTACAAGAGCAGCCCTTAGTTTTCAAGGGTTCTGTTCATCTTGTGATGGTAAGGTAAGATATTAGGCTCCTACTTCCTCTGTGCAGTGTGTTTGTGTGGAGGCTTAGCTGTCAAGCACTCAAAGCACAGTGTGACATGCCTGTAACTTGCATATAGATAATTAAGTCTCCACAGCTAACGTGACAATAACCGAGACCAAACCTACAAATATTAATGCAGGTATGATTCAGTATGATTTAAACACATCTTAATGTACAGCTGATCCACTATCACAGTTTTCAACTTCGTCGTATGTATACACCTTATTCCAAGCACTACGGTGTGTATTATGTAGATGTTGACCCTTTGCCGACTATGCAAGGCAGAGAACTTAGTTCTTATGACCTCCATAAAGGAATGGGTATTATGAGGCAAAGCTTCACATTATGGTCACCTGTTGCTATATGATGAGATATTTTAAATGTCTTTGATTGTTTAAAAAACAATCATATCTATGAATAAAACTGTTATGGAAAACATCCATATTTCAAACATGCCATGTATTATATATATTTAAAAGAAATGTAATGTGTATAAAAAAGGGTAAACACATCTATTAGCCACTTTTCAAAAATCAGCGTTCACTTACATCAACATCATATACAGTAAAACCTCTGTTAACCGATTATTCGATTCCCGCATTAACCGACCGAATTTCAACCAGATTGGTTGCAATCGGTTTCTACTGGCGAGAGTCGTAAAGCGAGACCCATGTGGTATGAGTGACCGTCCTGCTAATGCATGTTTTCAGTCCATGTGGAGGCGCCATGCTGTGTATATCGTGTGGTGCATTAGTGTGCATATTTTGTTGTATTACTGTTCTGTAAAGTGATAAATTAATAAAATGGCTTAGAACAAGGGTGCTGAGATGAAGAAGGGTGGCGAGGTGAAAAGAAAACATGTGCATTCAATAACTGATAAATTGAAGATTATTGAGAAGATTGAATCTGATGTCACGATAGTTAAGCTAGCAGCTGACCATAGCATCGGTGTAACTGAAGGATTTAAGTTAGCAGACTTTCATGTAACTTTTTCATTAGCTGGTGATAAAGGGATTTCAATAAATGTTGTGGAAGACTGGCTGGAAGTTGATAAGGGATATCCTGGTTATGAGAATTTAAGTGAAGAGCAAATTCCTGAGAATGTTTCTGCTACTGAAGCTGATGATGAAGAAGAAAAGCAAAAGCCTGCAAAACTATCAGTTATGAGGGAATATATTGATGGTATCATACAGTTCATTGATCTAATCTCAAACCCAAGTTTTGTTGATAAAATGAACACTTCAGGACATTTAGAGAATTGGTTATTCACAGGCAAAGACAAAAAACAACCCAGCTGAAAATACATAGCTTCTTCAAACCTGCTGGTTCCCGTAGAAGCTGAACCTCTACTCATTGTTCAGGACAACATAGCAAGCAAATCAACTGACATCAGCAGAATCACCAGAACCTCCACTTCATGTGATGGACAGCGACTCAGAATGACTGAAATCCTGTACAGTCCAGTGTTCTCCGTTCACTTACTACGAGTGGGATATTGCTTCTTGGGTGAGTTTACATATTTATTTTTATGTTTATTTTTATTATATTACTATTTATTTTTACCAATTATTTTGTTTTCTATATTCTATATTCTCTATTTTCAATTGTCATTAATGGAATTAAAACTTTACTTCACAGTCACAAAATGATGCCAACACAAAATACAAAATATAAACCTAGTAAGAACTAATGATAGTGCAACAAAACAAGAAACGGTAAAGAACATGAACACCATCAAGAATGAAGACAGTGAAATATGAAAAACGTTAAAAATCAGTAAAATGGTGATAGGTTTATACTGCATACACCCATCGATGGCTGAATGTAGCCGAAACTAGTAGTGTATTTAAATGATGTTTTAAATCTTTTAATATTATTTTATCATTATAATTGTGAGTGACTGTAAATTTTTAATATATATTTTAATATCAGAATGACTGATAAATTCACTACTTTAATACAGGGACTTCCTCAAACAGTGCTCACAAGTGACTTTTGCTGTTGGCTTGTGCGTGTGAAATACGCACATCATCTGCCAAGGAAAATCTGTATTAAATCTTCATATATTTCAGTATTTATAACAGTGATTTACATGTTTTTGCTTCAACTTTGGTAATTAAATCGTTGTCTTCTACTTATTGTTTCATATTCATGACCATGTTCCCCTTCCCCTTGCTCATTGACTTATCGGCTTATCCAACCTACGGTTCCCCCCATATAGGTCCGTTAAAAGAGGTTCCACTGTATTGACCTTTTTTACAGTATGGTACAATCATCACCGGTCTGAATGCACAACAGTAAGAAGAGTTTGCATGTCACCGATTTTATTCCAAGACAAAATGTAAACATAATGCCTAGTAATTTTGTGTTAATAGTTTTATATTAAGGCACTCAAGTACAAATATCAGATCTCTTGGGGGGAGGGGAAAAAATATATATATACACACATTTCAGTACAACTAAACATTCAGAATACCTCTGAGGTAAATGTAGGGAAGGACTTTTAAAGTTACATCCATTCTATAATAAATAAGTGATTAGCTTTTTTAAATGAAACAGAGTCCTAAATTATCACAGATAGATGGGATCAAGTAGAGAACTAACCATTAATAATGAGATCGTTCTATGTTTCTGGACTCCATACCCCATTCATCATCTAGCAGTGAAAGGAGTTTGGCCACTTGCTGACCCATTCTGGCTCATTCATCCTATGTCCCTTTAAAGGTCATCATCCTCAGTTCTTTAATCCATGTGGATTGTAATTTTTTAATAGTTTGGGATGTCTTTCTCTTTGTATTCTGTCACTGTACTGAATACAACTGATTTTACATTACAAAATGTCTATTATAGGTTCTCATTTTAGTTAATATATAATAATTTATTTCTCTAATATTGTGATGAATTTAATTTCATTGCCTGTAATTGTGAATTATAATTACAATCTCAATTTCAGATATGATATTCTCAGAACAGTAATGTCAGTTGTGGTCTTCTGGGCTGTGATGTTATGTAATTTCATAGATGGAGGCAATACATTCCTCTGAAATGTTGGTAACCACTTACAAGACTACATGTCTTCACAGCCCACAAGACCAATTCTGTAACTCTTAAAATACTTGTATTATTACAACTTTTCTTCACAGATGTGTACTCTTGTTCCATATAAATGACACAATCACTAAAGCTTTACATCATCTTCATTCTTTATCACATCATGATGGCTGAAGAAATCGATGACACACTGCTCAACATCTGCTTCATCTAAAAATGATGAAAACAATTTCTAATTGAATGGTTCTAATTGTAATTTTGTCTCTACAACAACATAGATACAAAGCATGAAACAGATGTGTGATATTAAAAACAGGCAAATTGTATTATTTCAATACAGTTTGTTTTAAGAAAAACCTAAGAAAAGTACAAATTTGCAGCAGTCAGGAATAAAAGCTTTCTGAATTGGCATAAGAACAGATTATGTCCAAGCAAAAGGAAATTGTTCTCTAAAATTAAGATTTAGAATTTGAGTATTTTGTATGAATATTGAAGTAATCCGCTGTATGTAGACAGATTTAATCTCTCTGAAATAATTGTTTTCTGAACGGTGAAGGCCTGCTTGTCTGTGTTAGCTTACATACTGTATAATTTTTCTTGGACTGTTAATATTATTGGACTTTTGGACTTTGTCCATCATCTGGTATTCTGAAATAAATACATTTTTTTGTAAACTGGATGTTTCTTTCCTCAGATTAAAAGGTGGAGGTGAGGGACCTGAGTAGACATTCCTCACCTTCACACCTGAGGATGGACATATGCAGAATTCCAGACATTGGGCAAAATCCAGATATCTTGTAATAGTAACTGGATTTCAGCTTTTCATGTATTACTGCCATTTCTTAAGCAATTGAGTGATGTAATAAATGCTTACCTGGTACATGGTTCTTGAGGAGAAGTGTATCAGCAATATGTCGTGCAAGGAACTTGAAAAGAGGGCGTGATAGTATTCGACCTTCCCTGTAGTAGGGCATAAGGCTTTCAACAACCCAACGTGCAATCCTGTCTTTAAAGTTTGTTACATGTTCATCTACATCAAAACAATCGTCACTGTCACTACTAAACAGTTCTAAGAATCTAAGTCTCATCCTTCCTCTCTTACGCACATCAAAGCAGGTCTCAAATATCTTAGCATGTAATAATTTTTGCTGGTGACATTTCTCAACTGTCCATGCACTAGGCTCTCTGTCATCTTTTGTAATAATTTTATCATGTAACTGTTCACCTTTTGAAAAGTGATATGCTTCTCTCCTAAGCACAGATGAAATTCTGTCATCAATGCTCATACGTGGGCATTCTTCCAAATCCAAGTCATTTACTGTATTGTCATACAGTGTTCCATCAGAAAAGTTTTCATGTTGTTGCACATTACTCGACTTTCTCTTACTCACAACAGTTTTAGTAGGTGCAGCATTTCTTCTTGCATTCATTCGGGTTTGTTTTTCAATAATCGACCATTCATATGGCTCCTTTTCATTTCTGTTTTGCTCTGATGAAAATGTTTCAGTTAAACCTCCATTATGGTTAACTGGAGTTGGTATTTCATTACTTATTATTGAGTAGTGAAACAAACTGTCTGTGTTAATATTTGGCACAAATTCTTGATTCATTTCATAATATGGTATATGTTCTATACCATTAACTGTAAAATATTCTGTACTTCTAACTGATGTGGTACTCATTCCTGACACATACACAGGAATTGGTATACCCTGTATTGGTTCCTTGTTAACTGCCTCTGGCACGGAGGGCTCCATTTTGACAGTTGAGGGCTGAAAACATTGATCAGTTAGGCTAAATGGTGAAGCTTCTGGTTTTGTTTCAGTCTCTAAGTTATGGGATTCTACAGCAGCATGCTGCAGGCCTGTAGTTACCATATCAATCTGGGTTGCTTTGTCTGTGTAGCCAATATGTGCACCTGTCTGTGTTGTTTTGTCAGACAACACAGAGTCACTGGTGATACAGTCTTTTAGTTGCCTATACAGCTTTAGTTGTTCTGTGTGCTTCTTGATGTCAGTGGCCTAAAACAGAATAATCCTTTATATTAACATATTACCATTTTCTAAAAATGAGTCTCTTGCAATCCAATAAAAACAAAATATTTGAAGACAGAGGTATCTGAACAGTATGCAATGTTTATTTTGGTCAGAATTTTGTAGCCCTTTTGTGCCACATGACTGGTATGTGGGGTTGATCAGCTAGTCAACTAGTTTTTATAACTCACTGGTCAAAGTCATATGTATTCTTGCTATCATTCTGGAGCTGTTGAAACAAAGTCTGAAGTATTACATAACAAATGTGGTAACTATTAAATCCATACACTAAGAATTATGAGGGGCAGTCAAAACGTTCCCATAATTGTGGTATAGAACTGTAATGGTAGGACATATGATAACGCTTACCTATTCACCTTCAAAGTAGGACCCTTGCGCACACACACACACTTGCTCCATCGATCCTGCCATTGTTGGAAGCACCGGTGGAAGGCTTCGTTTGGAATCTTCCAGAGTTCGGCCATCGCATTCGATTTGATGTCCTCCATGGTTGAGGCCCATTTTCGGAGTAGGGAACAGCCAGAAGTCACTCGGAGCGAGATCCAGAGAGTATGGTGGTTGGGTGATGACGTGAATGCTTTTCTCGGCGAGGAATTGCTGCACAACCAGCGATGTGTCGAATGCGACGGCCGAACTCCGGAAGATTCCTAACGAAGCCTTCCGCTGGTGCTTCCAACAATGGCAGGATCGATGGAGCAAGTATGTGTGTGCACAAGGGTCCTACTTTGAAGGTGATTTGATTAGGTAAGCATTGCCATATGTCCTACCATTACAGTGCTATACAACAATTCTGGGAACTTTTTGACTGCCCTACGTATGATGTACTGATGATATATTCGTATATATCGTGTACATCGTCATGAGTTTTGGAGATGACTTCTTTTCTAATAATGTATAATTTGGGTTTCAATATTGAACATAAATCTAACAGTACCCATTCTGTCCGTAAGTATGATTTTGATTTTCTCTTTTCATTAGTGTTTTATATTTTTCATTATCTTTGTGCCATATTAAATGTTTTTCACTGGGAACAGCATGGTGTGAAGTGAATATAACAATAACAATAAAACTGTTAAGGTGGGAGTTCAGTGATGTATCTTGAATATGGAATGAGGAGACTGGATTCTTTTACATTCATACAACAATTTTAAGAAACTTTTGTGTGGCACATCTCTGAGATGATTGAGTATTATTGGATTATATATAAATAGATTTATCGGATGATGGCAAAACCTACCACCAAAATTTTGTAGATGTATCATGTGAATCCATTCTACAACCATCCACCGTTTCTTTAAGATCCATTTTTCTACAATCTTTCCATCTATGCCTAGGTCTTCCAGTCAAAATTTTTTGTCTTAGTCTTCCCAGGCCCCAGCATAAGAGTTTCCTATCATCAACTAGAAATATATATCACAACATTCTTTTGGCAGGAGAACTGATGATAAATTAAATGGCCCAAACCATAAAATGGGAAGTCATATCAAGGAAAAGGAGATCACCAGTTTTGATGTAAAGGAATTAGAAGAACAAATTGCAATTCCTCTGAAGCAGATGATACAAGAAGATGAAGATGAAGCTGAGGAACAGAACTACATAGGAGAAGCTGTTACTCGCCTCACTGGAAATGTATGGAGCATTGTGGTGTTGGTATACCAACACAACAATGCCGAGTAAACAAATAACGTAACATTGTTTGATGACGTAATTGTTTGACTACGAATTGTATGACGATGATGGGAAATCACGTATTTTAGTATACTAGAGCAGGGCGCTCCTTTCGGAGCTCCTAGCTGGGGTTGGTCATGTTTGTAAACGCAACCAACCTTGGTTAGTCCCAAAGAGGAGTTATTTTAGTGTCTCATTCAAGTGTTTAACCCCTGAGAAAGAAACTAAACTAACCCCCCCGAATGGGGGGTTTAAACACTTGACCAACCCCCCGAAGGGGGTTGGTTGCGTTTAAAAATCTTGAGTAAGACACTAAACTAACCCCCGTGTATAATCAAATATAAGGTGATATTGTTGATGACGTCATTTTTTGACGACAACGATGGCTAATCCTTTCGGAGCGCTTCCTGTAATCTGATATTTTACTTCTTTACGTCGCTGATCAGAGGCCAACAGTTCTTGGTTAGTCAACTATCTACTTCCAACCCCACCCTTGCAAATCTTTTTTTTCTCTTCTGTCTTTTGTTGAATAGTTCTGATGTTTTAGTTCTTTACGTCGCTGTTCAGAGGCCAACAGTTCATGATCAGTCAACTTTCTACGTCCAGCAACACCATTGCTAATCTTCGTCTGATTTTTCTTTTTTTTTTCTCTTCTGCTCTTGTTGTATACGTTTTTCTATGTTTATCAATGTAACTCTCCCTTCGTTTTTTTTATTTGTTAAATAGGTCTGATGGATTAGTTCTTTACGTAGCTTTTCAGAGGCCAGCTGTTCTTGGTTAGTCAACTATCTACTTCCAACCCCACCCTTGCAAATCTTCGTTTGTTTTTCTACATGTGTCGTTAATATGGTCTCGTTTAACAATGTAAGTCTTCTTTCGCTTATCCTTATTTGTTAAATAGATCTGATGTCTTAGTTCTTTACATCGATGTTCAGAGGCCAACTGTTTTTGGTCAGACAACTTTTTACGTCCAACCCCACCCTTGCAAGTCTTCGTTTGTTTCTTCTGCTCTTCTGTTCTTGTTCAATAAGTTTTTCGCTTTTCTTCATTTGTTAAGTATGTCTGATGTTTTAGTTCTTTACGTCACTGTTCAGAGGCCAACTGTTTTTAGTCAGACAACTTTCTACGTCCAATCCCACCCTTACAAATCTTCGTCTGTTTTTCTACATGTGTCGTTAATATGGTGTCGTTTATCAATGTAATTCTTCTTTAGCTTTTCTTTATTTCTTAAATATGTCTGATGTTGTAGTACTTTACGTCGCTGTTCAGAGGCCAACTGTTATTGGTCAGTCAACTTTCTACGTCCAAACCCACCCTTGCAAATTTGTTTACACGGCATTGTTGTGTTCCACAACAATGTCGAATAAACAAATATCTGTTGACATTGTTGATGACAACATTTTTGGATTTTTGATTCTTTGTTGTGAAGCTCCAGAAGCAGCACATCGCATCTTACTATAAAAATTTGTGATTCCTCGTAATAGAAAAGAAGATGATAGTGTTTTGTGTATCATCTGTTCTTGTCAAAGCAACAGAGGAACTAGCTTCATCTTCAGGTTTGTTTTTCTGCCATAATGTATTGATCTATTTTAAGCTTTATTTAAGAATGTTTTCAAATTTTAAAATGTACAATTTTAATTATCCTGCAACTGTTTTGTAAGAATGTTACCACAGAACAGGCTTGGATTATAATAAGGAAGACAGAGGAGGAGGCAGTGGATGAGGGAAGAAGTGCTAAAATGCTAAGGACTTACAGAAAAGTAACTGATATGATATCCCAGTTTTTCCACAAAGGTATCTGTAATCACAGAGAAGAAAAACGAATGAATGATGAATAAATGTCATTTATGAGGAATGCGATCTTCTGGGTTATGGCACCATGTAGTCTTATAGGTAGTTACCAGTGTTTCAGATGAACATATCACTGTCATGAATACCTCAATCTCAAACATAATTTATACTTTTAAAGAAAAATCAGGTATAAATTTGCTAGAGCATAATGTTTTGCCATACAAGACAAACACATGACCTGTAAGTTTAACACTCACCAATCGTGTCATAGCTCTCTGATATAAGATAACCACCATGCATGATCGTAATGCCTTTCGTTCCATCTGGATAGCACACTTTATTACATCTTCCTGGTTAAGAGGCCATTCACTGCAGTCCTCACAGCACACCTCATAATTTTTCATGAGAATTTTCTCCAAGTGGTTTAAATAACATGCCCGAACCTATAAAAAATGAAAATTCTGTAGTGCAAAAATAATTGAAGATGGAAATGCACCAACTGGCAGTAACACTGCACACATAATTGCAACTTGTTGCAGTATTAAGAAAACTAATACAATTACATTCTCCACAATGAAAAAAATCTGGCAAGATGTATGGAATGTAGGAATAAAGCAGAATTAAGTAAAATATGAGCACATCAAATACTGACAGATCACATCAGTTTACAAGCAGAGTTCAAAGTGCAGACACAATATGTAATATGATCTTGCCATAGGAATGGTGCAAGAAGCATCTCCAAATTCCCTGCAGACTTTAGTGAGAAAGAATGTAATTATTTTTAACATTTTAACTCATTCTTAGTTGTTGTTCTTAAGGTTAGAGGCCAAATTTGATATATTGCTATACAAACACTAAAGTCTTGTGTTTGGCCTCAACTAACAACTTGCCAGTTTACATGTATCTTTTCAGTGTCTCTTCATTGACATTTTAATTTAAAAAATCTTAAAACTATCATCCTGAATATTATATTAAATCTGGTCCATGACTGAAAATGTTGTGGCCATGAAGAAGATAGCACAAGGATGTTTGAGAATAAAGCTATAAGGAGAAGATTTGGACCTAATAAAGAGAATGTAACATGGATGGAGAAAAGTGTGTAACTCTATAATTTCTACTCTTCACTGAATGGTCACATCAAGAATGGCATTCTGGGTAGAACATGTTGCAAACATGGAGATGAGAAATATACACATACCTAAAGATAACAGACCATTTGGGAGGCTTAGGCATGGATGGGTATAATCTTCAAATAATAGGGCGTGAGAATGTAGACTGGATTCAGCTGGCTTATGATAGGGTCCACAGGTATTCTCTTGAGAACAAAATGAGCCTTAAGGTTCTATAAAACGGAGGGGATTTTTTGATCAACTAAGTGATTGTTAGGTTTTCAAATATTCTGCACAATGAAATTGGTTGGAAGAGAGGAAGGATAAATGCACTGCTCTATATGTAAACTGCTCCATACATTTCCAGTGAGGCGAGTAACAGCTTCTCCTATGTAGTTCTGTTCCTCAGCTTCATCTTCTTGTATCATCTGCTTCAGAGGAATTGCAATTTGTTCTTCTAATTCCTTTACATCAAAACTGGTGATCTCCTTTTCCTTGACATGACTTCCCATTTTATGGTTTGGGCCATTTAATTTACCATCAGTTCTCCTGCCAAAAGAATGTTGTGATATATATTTCTAGTTGATGATAGGAAACTCTTATGCTGGGGCATGGGAAGACTAAGAAAGACAAAAAAATTTTGACTGCAAAACCACAAGGGAAGAGACCACTTGAAGACCTAGGCATAGATGGAAAGATTGTAGAAAAATGGATCTTAAAGAAACAGGGTGGATGGTTGTAGAATGGATTCACATGATTCAGGATAATGAACCTTCATGTTCCATGAAAGATTAGAAATCTGACTAGCAGAGTGACTGACACCTTAAAAATGGTTCTACTCTATCGAGATGGTTGTAGAAAATTCATTATATATGCTATAACATCATTTGTTGCAAGTGACCCTAAAAAGTGATTCAGTTTTGCAAAGTGTTCCACTTTTTTGTTTAAAAGGTTGATGCCAGAACATAGCTCTTTATTCTACAATCATTATACAGTATTGTAGTTATATTCTCTTTTATGTATTTATTTCCACATTTTTCTGCTTTGTTTTAGATTATATGGTTTTATATTTTACATAATTTTATTCTTACATAAAAAAGGACTTAATATCTAATTATAAATAAATGGAAGAAAAAGTGTGATATAAAAAGTTACAAACTTTTGGTTTGGAAAGGAATACAAATGCTATATTTCATAGTTGAAACAAATAGATTCACTTGGCCGCATGTAGTCTCTCTGTGTTGCATCTTTGGTATTCTGAATTGAGATGAATAACACAAGTGGCTGGACGGTGACATTAGTGGATACACTAAGGCAAAATTCAGGAACTGGATTTTCTGTAAAATTTATGGAGTGGAGAACTCTGGTTACCTTTGTGTATATATCTTGTTTCCAGAAATGTAATATATGCATGTGTTCTGTTTCCATTGTCAGTAGGATGTTACAGCAGTTACTCAAAGTATTTAAACAAATATCGAAGGTAATGTTTATACTTTAATAATTTTTATATTTAAGATTTTAAACAACTCAAATACCTTGCAGAGTATGTGTAATTTCGTATGTTTGCCTTTCCTGGCTTTTCAGCGAATTATACTTATGAAAAGATGCAAGAACCACAAATTAAAATGTCTCTCTTAATAATAATTACGTTGAGACACATCACTTTGCTTGGAATTCATGTCAATTCCAGCCCCGGTAATAATAAGGGACAGGAGTTTGGTTATGTTGCCGAACATGGAACACGGAGGTTATGCAGAAATAAGTTAGGAACGTCTGTATGTACAATGTTTGGTTATGTTGCTAGACATGGAACAAGGATGTTATACAGAAAGATATCTTACATACTTAGGACAGTCCATAATGTAATTAAGTTTTAATTGTATTCACTCCATCATAGCAAACAGAAAACCCATGCTATTTAATGTTATTAAATATGCGTAAAATGCCTTCAGAAATAATAGATGTAATATATTTCCTTTGAAACCTTAATGCCGGGTGCAGTTCTGTTTATATTCATCGGAATGAAACAGCAACATATCGCATGACTATTTATGATAAATTTACGCAACAAACTTCAGTATGGTCATTTAAATAATGTATTTTTAAGAACAAATTGCCAAGTAATTGTATATAAAATTGTTTTTAATGGATAAACTATAAATATTATACATTTTATATGAGATTTAAAATATTCAGCAAGAATACGGTGCCTGTAATAACAATACAATGGTACATTGAACGTGTAAATTTTCATACGTAATGGCTGGCCTTTAACGAGGCCGTTGTGCTTTGGGCATCTGAATTGGTAAGTGGACCACGTCCACGATTTACGTTTTGGAAGGTGTGTATGACTTTTAACGTGTTTAACTTAGAAAAGATAATAAAGGATTCCTTTTAAAACTTTGCATGTAAAGACTTTTCCATTTACATGACCATTATCTGGCCTCATATTAAAACAGATGTTTGGTCGAAGTCTTGCTAACCTTCAAAACCATTCTTCACTTTAAAACCTACTACACTGTCAGGGAATACCGTTAATATCAGAGTTAAAAAGCGCTCCTTTGTTGTGAGCTCTTCAATTTATACCACAGGTTTTGATTTTGCTAGTTGCAAGTTACGTCATTTGCTTGAGTGAATGTTGTACATATCATTCCGTTGATTTTTTAACATTACGAATTCCGGGTTAAAAGGCAGTTGCCCAAAATTGTGTGAATTTGCTACGTTGATATTAACATATTTATTGCTGGATTATAAAAAGTGTTTCCGTGTATTGTGTGATGATTGTGGATACGTCTTTGAAGTACCATTTTTTCTATCGTCATTGAAATTGATTCATTAAGCAAATAATATAACAATGTGAATTAGCCCATTAGTAAGTAACTGATGTATCTTTGTAAAGGTGCTGCTTATAAAAACACCTTTTATTGGCGTAAATACGTCTATACGGAAGGGTCATTCGGCAAAAAAGTGAAAGGAAAACGTGTAAAAAAAGGGTAAGATCCGTATCAACAAATCGACAGCAATGGTTACCTAGGAAACCATCTGTTTACTCGGCATTGTTGTGTTACATTACTGCCGTCAACAATCCGCTTTCGTTATTGCGGAAAGAGCTGAGCTGTGAATCGCTTGTAGAAGAAGTGCGTAGTAGACTAGATAATTTCGACATTACATTATAGCCACAGTGGTCTAGCGGTTAGAACGCTGGCCTTATAATCCTGGGGGTCTCGGGTTCGATTCCCCCACGGTGCCCGAATTTATAACTTGTGTTGGGCAAGGCCGTGGTCTAGGCAACACGGAGTTTTCCTCCGGGGGCTTCCCCGGTTTCTCCGTGGCATCCCAACGATTACTCCATTCACACACAGAAGAACGCAATGGCAAACCACTTCTGGATCATCTGCCAAGAACGTATATGAACAGGTCCCAGTCCCAGGAAAGGATGGAAGGATCCTGTTCATATGGACCTGTGGTCAGACAGAACACTAAATATATATATACACATTACATTACATTCAGCTACCTTCCTTTCAGTGTATTTATTTCTTAAATATAATTTAAATACAGAGACGTATTTACGTCAGATTCTCCGGAACCGTGGTTCCACTGTCAATTTTTTGTTGTATGAAACATGTTACGAAATGTTACTATTGGTTTATAATTTCTGTTCAATTGCAGGATGCCACGAAGCAAAGCTACTGAAGAAACGGACAAACTTACTAGAATTGCCATTGTAAATGCAGACAAATGTAAGCCCAAGAGATGTCGGCAGGAGTGTAAAAAGTCATGCCCTGTTGTTCGAATGGGTAAATTATGCATCGAAGTAACTCCAAATGATAAAATAGCAAGTATTTCAGAAGAACTCTGCATTGGTTGTGGGATATGTGTTAAGGTAAGGTGGTAATATTAGCAATATTTTCACTGCATACTAAACTAAGTACTCATTTTGAAGAGAATACACATACATACAGTACCTCTGAGGATTGAATAGATATAATTATTTGTTTCAGAAATGCCCTTTTGAAGCCATTACTATAATTAATTTACCCAGCAATTTAGAAAAGGATACAACTCACCGGTATTCACAGAATTCATTTAAGCTTCATCGACTTCCAATACCAAGACCTGGAGAAGTATTGGGTCTTGTAGGCACCAATGGTATTGGAAAATCTACAGCACTGAAAATACTGGCAGGCAAACAGAAACCAAATCTCGGTCGCTATACAGTAAGTAATATTGGTTCTTTCCTAACACCTCAAAATGATATGGGCTCTCAGTTATATTGTAGCATAAAAGATTTAGTAGTAAGTGAATGGTCATAATATGATGAAAAAAGTGTGTTAAGGTTAGTGATTCAAAGAAACTGATACATAGTATGGCTTAGGCAGTTTAAAGTTGAAAATCCCATTAAGAAAACAAGACCACAAAAATCAACACAAGAGTATTCTTTGAGGAAGGTTAGGAGGGAGAACATCAATGTGGAATTTTTCTGTGTTAACATAGTGAAGAGCCTCAAACAACATGAAATGTCAAAAGATGGCTTAGGTTTATTTATTTATGTATTGCCAATCACCATATGTGTTCAACACAGAGAAGACCATTAAATATGTAAAATGTCACTTATGTAACGTGAAGTGTTAATAGTAGTTTGAGCCATATTGTAGTATGATACTGTGATTAGCAGATCTTGTGATTTTGTAGGTAAATTTAGAATTTGCACGACATACAACATTTCTATATCCACAATAAAAGAGTATTTTAAACACAATTATGAGATGATAATGTTGCGTCATATTGTGTTGAATATATACTTGCTCAATTTTATCAGTCTAATAAAAAAAAA